CCCAATTCAACCAAGCCAAAGGACGACAAAGACTGTCATGAACGCCACGTACACCTCGCTTGTATGCAAAATTATGCCCTCCGCTACCTTCAATACAGACCAGTTCCTCCAATAATACCTAGCTCTTTTGGTGCCTTCCAACGCTCACGTACATTACTTGGCTGGCCCATTCTTATACAGTTGACGTTTAATTTACACGTATCCATCCTCGTGTCTCTGTGCAAGTACTCCCAATCATTTGGCCGAGCCATTCTGGCTCTTCTCCTTGCTCTTCCTGAATTTCCGAATCTCCTGCTCCACGGCCGAGTCTACCCTACGCTTCAACTCGGGTCGGTAGCCGAGCGAGAAGAGGATCTCAAACCAGACGAAGAAGGGGGCAAGGAAGATTGCCTGTACCAGATTGTCGAGCAGGGCAGGTGCGCGGCCCTCGAACTTGCCATGACCGATAAACTGCGCCAACCAGCATGCGATGTTGATTGCGCCAGCCCATGAATTCGCTGTTGCGCCGTACGTTGATGTAAGATGGTTTGCGACAGCGGTACCTCCAATCAAAATGGGTGCAAGTAGTGCCCCAGCGACAGGCTCCATCAGAATGTAGAGTGTCGAGTAGAGGACGGCCCCGACGGTTCCGACGTTCAGGGGCAGATTGGGTATCGATAGCCATGATGGTAGTGGGACATTAGGCGTGTTGGTGAGCTGGCCATTATAGTATTAGCTAGAATGTTGCATCATGGCGTGTATATATGTATATATATAGGGAGAGAGGGGGGAGAAAGGGAGAGAGACTTACAAGCAAAAACGACGTCAATAGGATCGGAGGCACACAGAGTATGTGTATCCCAACATTGACCTGACGGATGCGTATTAGCTGACATGTGAAAAAGCTGCGTTGGAACACAAGGTATTATTCACTTTGTTGTGATGATAGGCGCCATACTGTGTCCAAGTTAGCCTGAGTCGCACAGTCGGCCCAAGGAGAGATTCATCATACAAAGACGAGCTGCTTCTCGAGGTTCAAAGACATGGTAGCCGGATGCGGAACTGTTGCGCGCGCGTGTGAATGTTGCGAAGATTGGGGAAAGCTACCACATGTCTTGAAATCTGGCTGGTGCAAATCAGACGCAAAACAACGACTTGGGGCCGGGTTAGAGAGGTAGAGACGCAGTGACGAAGCAAGCAAAGAAAGATGTGGCAGGGTGTGAACGTCTGACCAACATGAGCGAGCGGGTGGGGTTGCACGAGCTGGCAGGTTGGGTTGGCAGGTGGCGGCTGCCAACGACCGCGCTGTGCTTAGGCGAACGATTTTCCGCGCCGAACATTCTGGGCCCAGGAGTCGACTCACTCTACTCTACTCTACTCTACTTCACTCTACTTTACTCTACACCGGTACTGACTGTCTTGCTGCCTGCCTGCCTGCCTGCCTGCCTGTCTGCCTGTCTGCCTGTCTGTCTGCCTGCACCCAAGCTGCTTCAGTCTTTCAAAAAGATTTAGATCCATCCACACACCCTTTGTTCTCCCAGAGATACACCACATCGCACGCCAAACCCGCCATTTCCTGTGCTTCGGACCCTCCTTCTGGTACACAGCGCAAACGTAGACACACATATATATACATATATATCGCGCATGGACTGCTGAAGACCGACTTTTGAGCGCTGCGCTCTTGGAGGAAGGCGCCTCTCACTCAGCGCTCTTGCGCCCGTCTCAGCACCCGCCCGCTCTTCCAAGTGGACAAGCATAGAATCGCATAGCTCAGAAGAGCTTCATCCTCTAATCCTTCGCCTGACTGAGTGTACTGCCGACCACCACCAAGTCGCTTACCAAACCCGCCAAACAGTACCAAAAGCCACGCGCCCTACCCACATACTCCCCCCCCCCACTTCGAACCTGTCGCACAGTTCGCAGTCATGTTCTTCCTCAAAGAGCTTGAGAAGACGATCCAGCTGCATCCCTCATACTTTGGCCCCCTCATTCGCCAGCATATCCATCGAGAATTACTGCAAAAGGAAGAGGGCTCAAGCACAGGAAAATATGCCATCGTGTGCATACTGGACGCGTTCGAGATCTCTGATGGTAAAGTGATGCCTGGGTCTGGATCTGCCGAGTATGTCGTGCACTACAAGGCCATCGTCTGGCGACCATACAAGGGAGAGGTGGTATGTGCACTCTCGAGGGCCAGCTTACAACGTTGAGGCTAACCATTGTGAAGGTGGACGGTGTCGTCGTCTCCGTCCTCCGCACTGGCTTCTTTGTAGATTGTGGTTCTCTGCAGGTATTCGTGGGCCGCCATGTAAAGCCAGCCTCGAGTAGTCTCTCCGAACTTGAATTAACAGTTGATAGATGATTCCGAGCGAGGTCAAATTCGATGCCAACGCGACACCACCGCAGTGGACCGACGATGGTGAGCAGGTGATTGAAAAGGGTACCAACATCCGCATCAAGATCAAGGGTCTGAGATCTGAGGTGGAAAAGATGTACGCTGTTGGCACAATGAAAGAGGTACATGTCTTGGCTGTCATCATTCCTAATCTTTTACTGACCCTCCAGGATTATCTCGGCCCGCTGTCATAGAGTCTGCATCTACATCAGGCATCAGTGTCCTCACACTTAAGCGCAGTGCCTTGCTTCCGTTAAGACGACGACGCATTGCCAATTGGTTTGCGCAAAGCAAAGCAGCGAATGAACACAAGGACTATTGTAACAACACAGCTGCACGAGGCGTTTCGTCAACAGAATTACGAAGTTTTATCGCGTTTGAAATAATTTGGATTCTGGAATTTGTAATTCGATCTCACGGTATAGGATACAGCGTCCTCTTGGAAATGGTCCCAAGTCAGGGCAACTTGCTGCGTCATGCAATGCTCGTTTACAACAACATAAAATAGACATCACACCCAAGCGCCCAAATTGTATCTGAATAGAAATGAACATTTTGAGCTCTTTGTGTTGCACCCTACTAGTGATGTCCCCGCCCCGTCTCAAAGAGTGGCTTGGACCATTTCGGCCAACGCGAGCTCTCACACCTCCGCCTAACTCCGCAGCTGAGGACCCCTTGGTCACCAACTTGCAGCGCGCAATCATAGCGCAACAACTTGCTGCAGGCTCCTTTACCCCCGGCAGTCTGCAAACTATTTTCAAAAATATGCTGTAATCACAAAAAAAACCTCTACAGAATACACACACCTTACACACGACGTCAGCATGCCTCGCGAACGCGCCGTGCACGAGGAGGAGGCGGAGCTCTTGTCCAAAGAGCAATCCGCACGCCATCTAGAAGATAGCTACGATGATTCTACATCTTCTATATCCACCACCTCGCTCGTTCTTGAACATATCAACGATCCCTCTATCAATAGCACATTGCGTGCGCAGCGGGGAGAGAAATATACGGATGACGATGAGCCCGGGCAGACACACGAGCAATTCGACATTGAAGACGGACGATATCAAGCCCCTGTAGCCGTAGACAAAAAGGCACGCAGGTTGCTATGGATCATCGGGTCGATATGTGTAGTTGGCTGGGGCCTTGCGCTGGTGTTCTTCCTGATGAGCGGGTCCTATAAGCCGATTTCGAGTCGCCCGCACGATCCGTTGGCAAGTTCTACAAAAGGCTCTGGGAAGAAGGTGACCATGGACGAGGTCTTCGAGGGGCACTTCTCCGCCCGACGACAGAGCGTATCTTGGATATCGGGACCGAGCGGAGAAGACGGCCTGTTGCTTGAGAAGGGTGCAAGCGATGGGGCGTACCTGGCGGTGAAAGACATTAGGAGTAGAGATAAAGATCATGCATCAAAGCCTGCACCCAAAACGATACTCATGAAGAAGGGCAGTTTCGAGGTAAATGGAAAGACAATCTCCCCTTCCAACGTCTCGCCTAGTAAAGACTTCAAGAAAGTGCTGGTCAGCTCCGACGTCAAGAAGAACTGGCGGCACTCAAGCACGGGCAAGTTTTGGATCTTCGACGTTGAGACGCAGACTGCAGAGCCTCTCGACCCAGAGCACGCAGAGGACAGGGTACAGCTGGCACAGCTGTCCCCACAGTCCGATGCGATTGTCTTTACACGGGACAACAACATGTTTTTGCGCAAATTAAATTCTAAAGAGGTGGTCCAGATTACCAAGGATGGAGGATCTGAACTCTTCTACGGCATACCCGATTGGGTCTACGAGGAAGAGGTGTTTGCAAGTAATATAGCAACCTGGTGGTCCGAGGACGGCAAGTACGTCGCTTTCCTGCGCACCGACGAGTCAACTGTGCCCACATTCCCTGTGCAGTACTTTATTTCACGACCAAGTGGAAAGGAGCCCAAACCGGGTGAAGAGAGTTACCCTGAAGTCCGTGACATCAAATACCCCAAGGCAGGCGCGCCAAATCCTATCGTATCATTACAATTCTACGATGTTGCCAAGAACGAGGTCTTCAGCGTCGAAATCGAAGATGACTTCACAGATGATAATCGTCTCATCACTGAGATTGTCTGGGCTGGCAAGAGTGGGAAGGTACTCGTCCGGGAGACAAACCGAGAAAGCGACATACTCAAGGTGGTACTTATCGATGTTCAGAAGCGCTCTGGAAAGACTGTGAGGACTGAAAATGTTGCTGAGCTTGACGGTGGCTGGTTTGAAGTTTCGCAGAAGACATCCTTTGTGCCTGCTGATCCTGACAACGGTCGCCAAGAGGATGGGTATATCGACACCATTATTCATGAAGGCTATGATCACATTGGCTATTTTACTCCGCCGGATAACGACAAGCCCGTTGTGCTCACACAGGGTCAATGGGAAGTTGTAGATGCACCCTCACGAGTCGACCTGAAAAACAACCTCGTGTACTACATGTCTACGGAGAAGAGCTCCATCGAGCGGCATCCTTATTCCGTATACCTGAATGGCACCGGCAAGCAAGAAGTCGTAAGCGACAGTGGTTCTGGCTACTATAGCGCCTCCTTTTCCTCTGGTGGATCCTTCGCTCTGATCTCCTATGAAGGCCCGGGTATTCCCTGGCAAAAGATCATTAGCACACCCACCAATACGGAAAAGTATGAGAAAGTGATAGAAGAAAACAAGTCCCTCGACCGCGTCGTCCGCGAGCGGGAGCTCCCCACTCTCCACTACGAGACTATTGACGTCGATGGCTTCACTCTCAACGTCCTTGAACGCCGCCCTCCTCACTTTAACGCGAAGAAGCAATACCCTGTATTGTTCTACCAATATAGTGGTCCTGGTTCCCAGACTGTGGACAAGCAGTTCAGGGTTGATTTCCAATCCTACATTGCTTCTTCTCTCGGCTACATCGTCATCACAGTTGATGGTCGTGGTACCGGTTTCCTCGGCCGTAAATTTCGTTGCATCACGCGTGGCAACATTGGGTACTACGAGGCCCACGATCAAATCGCCGTAGCTAAGCTCTGGGCTGCGAAGAAGTATGTTGACAAAGAGCGTCTTGCGATCTGGGGTTGGAGTTACGGCGGCTTCAACACCCTTAAGACGCTTGAGCAAGATGGTGGGAAGACGTTCAAATATGGTATGGCTGTTGCACCTGTGACAGATTGGAGATTTTATGGTAAATCAACCCTCTCCTACTTCGATGCCTTCTTCCCGGGTCCATCGCCCACCCCACCTCCCAACTTATGCCCGAATTCACTAACATCCCATGCCTTTTCAGACTCCATATACACGGAACGCTACATGCACACGCCCCAACACAACACCGCCGGCTACAACAACAGCACGATCAGCGACGTAATCTCCTTGTCCCAAAATGTCCGCTTCCTCGTCATGCATGGCGTGGCTGACGACAACGTGCACATGCAAAATACGCTTAATCTACTCGACAAATTGGATCTAGGGGGTGTGGAGAATTACGATGTCCATGTCTTTCCGGATAGTGATCATAGTATTTACTTTCACAATGCTAATCGCATCGTCTATGATAGTAAGTCGTATGCCTTCTTTCTGTGTCGTGATGGGAATAGGCAAGTAGGAGACATGTGAATGTGAGCTAATGTGTATGGCAGAACTACGATGGTGGCTTATCAATGCGTTTAATGGTGAGTGGGTTAAAATCAAAAAAGCGGAGCCCAAGGCACAGATTGATGGAAAGGACCGACGGCGCTGATTTGGCAATATGGTTGATTTCCTCTTATGCGGGTCAATAAATCTTATATCTCCTGTTGCTCACTGTTGATTTCCACACTCAAAGCCATCTGTGCACTTGTCCCTAGCCACATCACGCGTCCACAAGAAAGAAGAATATGGTCTTACCCTCGTCAAACAACCACAAAAATACAATTTGACCATGCATTCACACCGACTCTCCAAAAATCTCCAAATTTTCGTGTCCACCCCTACGCAAAAAAATCTTCATACTCTCCAAAACTTGCTCTTTCAGATTCGGCCGCGTCAAATTCTGGCCCGGGAAGCCGCCATATGTCGAGTCAAAGTCGAACGGCTCGAGCGCTTTCCAGATGCCATGAACCTTGGCAGGCGGTAGTGGAATCATATTAGGATACGACCACATGAACGCATAGGACACGGTGTCTGGAACACGATGGACATTGTTGAACGCAGACTAGCATATATGATCAGTACTAAATTCTCCAAAGCAAAATGAGGGTGAAAACGTCCCAGGACTTACGGGGACACTCATCATCGTATCCGCGATGAACAATTTCTTCTCCCAGAGCAAAAACGCACTTCCGTCGAAATGGCCTCCTGCTTGAATCATCTTGACCGCACCGCCCACCTCCTCAATCGGCGTAACACCGCGTGTGAATTTCCGCACGCCCTCGACATCCTCGCGGTTCAGCCAGTCTGCATCGTCGCGGCTCATGTACACTGGACACTTGAACGCATGTGCCCATTCGAGATGCGTGGTGTAGAAATGCGGATGGCTGATGACGATTGCTTTCAGCCCACCCTTTGACTGGACAAAATCGATGGTCAGTTGATCAAGGAAAGCAACACAGTCCCAGAGTAAATTGCCCTTGTCAGTTTGGAGGAGGATGGCGCGTTGTCCGATCCCGAGTTGTTTGCGCGTGGTGGTCGTGTCTGCAAGACCTGGCGGCAGTTCCGAGGGTGTTAGGGGCCGCGTGGAAATATAGTGCATGCGGGCATCATTGGGGTCAGTTTCGTACGTGTTTTTCTGGAGAGAGTTTTCTTGCTTGAGACTGGTCCAGGATTGGCCGGATGGGGGGACGTATTGGCGGGGGTCCTAGGGTGGTTGTCAGTGTGCATGTTGGGTGGTGGAGTAGTAGTAGTAGTAGTAGAATGCTTATGACGTACATCGCATATGCGACAACTCTCTGGATGCTGGGAGAGAGGGACATCGTATTGCGTGCCGCATGTTTCACAGATGGCTAGGTCGCTGGGTTGAAATGCCATGTTTGCAAGTATTGGATTGAAATTGGGAGATCGAGGGTAATCTCCTAAGAAGCTGCGGAGCTGCGAATGACCGTAGTGGTGGAATGTTCAGTGATACTTATCAGCTTCCAAAAGTGGGGTTAGAGCTTAGGAAATATAATTACCCTGGACAACTGCGTACTCGTGCGAGCTGTGACAATATAATACTTACAATCAAGAGGTGAAGATACGAGATTTTCAAGTCTAGAACATTAGCTTATCAAGTAGCTTTTCGCTGCGCAGTTCTCATCAAGAGATGCTAGTGGCTATATCCATACTAATTTCTACAGGTAGCATGGTCGATAATGCTTGCTAATCAGCCCTGAACATGTCATCATAGTCTCGCTCTCTGTCCATGAATCTGGACATACAAATCTCAGTAAGCAAATTTTGAGCAGCCATTGTTGTAAAAGCTTTGGGGTTGCTTTGCATAAGGTCGGCAATGTTGGTAACTATCTACTTCTTCAGCCAATCATTACTTTGTGGGCGAAATGCTTGGTATCTCTTTTTGCACCGTTCATAAACTTCGATGGTATTAGCAGCGATTCAAAGAGGCCCTGTTGTAATATGTAGTATTGCTTGTGTGTCATTTCTCTTCTCAGGTATGCGAGATTAGCTACGCCAAAGAACCTTCGACGATCCAGACCTCCCCATTCGAGACTTTGTCGGCTACGCTCGTGACTGCCACATCGCCAGGTTGAATCTGAAAACTTGGTCAGCCCGCTATAATTTATGACAGTATTAAAAGCAATGTTCATGCTAATCTGCGATGAGCAAGTACGGTAATCAGAACAAAAAAAAGGCTAAACTGTCTGGAGAAGTAAGTCGAGAGCAGCACTAGCTGGATTGATAGGGCGTTCCGCGGCCCTGATGTAGTTGAACGTGACCCACGACTTCGATCTGGCCAAAAAAGAACCTGGGGTATTTGGCTGAAGCCAAACGAATGCTGATGAGAGTGGGACCTGTAGACTGTTAATATAATGCTAACTAGCCGTAATCTGCATGCCAACGTACTCGAACCCACGCCACTTTCGTGACCAGGAATAATATGTTAAAGGTCAACCTTAACCTGGCGCCATAACCAACTAGTTATATGTTAGAGAGTCAAGTAACGGGAATTGGATACTACGAACCTCGGCCATCTCACCATTTGATTGGTTGCTTGATGAAGATTTGACCAGATGCAGGCAATATAATTGCGAATTCGGTATGCGGGAGTAAAAGAAATTTGCTTGCGGTGGGCACAATGTGGGTCCCACAGCAAGCAAAGACTGCCGACAAATGATGAATCGTTCAGGCTTACCTTCTTTTGGCCGTCTTTGCTCTCCCACCAAACCTCATTGCCATAAAGTGTCTTGACCTTCTTTCCCTCCTCCCAGGGGCTCTCTGTCACAATGTGTCGCTGTACGAAGCGCTCCAGATTCTTTCGCGCCCGGTCCTCGCCACTGCTGCCCTCATATGCATTTGCGCCAAACGAGTTGTAGTCTTCTGGATCTTCCCATGGTTTCCTCTTAAGGCCACGCATAAAGGTGTTGTCTGGCGCCAGTACTGTTGTGTTTTGGGCAGCATCATCCAAGCGACCAGAGACTGCGTCTACATCGCGAGTCAAGCTACTGAAGATGGCGATATTCTGCGTTTTCCCTATCACGTCTGAGATGATGACTCCGGTAGAGACCTGGCCTTCGGGCTTGCCCATGAGATAGCTACGAAGTGGTGATTGCTCGCTGAGGATGTCAAATGACCTGATGATACTGTCGAAGGGCCGCGACTCGGCGGAGCAGGCAAGATACAGACTGACGGTAGCAAGTGGGTATACAACGATATTCCGAGCTCGCATGGTCGTTCAAACGTTGCGCGTTTGAATGTTTGTGGCGGATGTTGGGAATCTTGAGAGACACAGACGCAGTGGTGGGTTGCATTCACACACGTCATGCCGCGGTGAAGCCAAGCCTCGTGACTTCGTGAGTGATCGGCAGGCGCGGCTAGTACGATGGGTAAGTTAAGAAGTCGAGATTCGCGATTCTTAGACTTGCCCATGTCCACTCACCACACCACATGGCACATGCCTTGACAACAGCAATAAGTTGCGCTCCCCAGCGCTTGCCTGGATCGTAAATCTAGTCATGGAGTTTTCGGTCCCGACGGTTACTATTGTAGGTCTTGCGCTTTGTGATTCGAGGCAATGAGCTGATTTCATAGGACGATTTATGCGCGTTTCACGCGACACATTTTCCTCACGTTGTTCTGCCTGATCAATTTCTGCACGGTGCTGGAAACATGATCGCTCAGGACCATGCTGAACCCACCGAGGAGTATTTCGACGTGGAGCCGGAAGATGATCTAGGCTATTACCCTGATGGCGCCAAACGTACCCTCACCGATGAGCAAATTGCCATTTTCCGACACTCAGAAATTCGGGAGATTTTGCGCGAGCGACGATCGCGATATAATCATGGTGATCGCTCTGAAGGTGAAGTCTCAGGAAATGAGCTTGCCTCGGCGGATCTACCACCTCACGGTCACGGGAGCCCCAAGACGACTTGCGCAGCCACATCTACAGGCAATGCATACGTCGAAGATCTCAAGCAGAAACATTCGGGTCCAGGGGAAGAATCCAAGGTACAACGATGGGCGACAAGCAGTGCACGTACCAAAAGACGAAACAAGAGGAATCGTGACAAGTACCATGCGAAGAAGAGAGCTGAACGGGAGAAGGAGCAGGGACCAAACCGCAAGGACAGTGGTGATGAAAGTGACGAGTGGGATCCCTGGCATCAGGCTACGGGACCGGATGCGCAGAAAGAAGAAGTTTTCGATCTGGACTACTGAAGGTTATGAGTGCTGTATTGCCAGAAAAGTACAGTCGCAATCCTACGCAGCCGACTCGTAGCACATGAACACAGTGTTGATGGTCGAAAAGGGCACACGTAGGACTATTACGTGCTACGGTGAGTTCCAAGATCTTTTTCAAAATTATGTTATGATGAAAATTAGTTATCGTCATCCTTAGGCAGAGATGGGATTGGACTTGAGCTGAGTACGAAGGCCCTTCTGGAGTCCGACTTTCGGTTCGTCTAACCTCATCAATGACGAGTAAATAATCTTCTCTCTGATTGCATGTTCTCCATCACGATTTTTGACAACGAACTTTTGGTATATACTTACTGACTTCTACTTAAGGCAAGCTGTATGAGACGGCTTCTTCTCTCCATGCGCGCTAGGAATAGATATTGTACCATTGCCATTCTGCGAGAAAATAAATATAAGTCTAATTAGTACATATGGGTCAAATTCACCTTTGAAAAAGCGGCAAAATGTCTCACCTTCACCTCACCTTTATCTGTTTGTCTTGACATGTGTGCGCTGTTGCGCTACACTACCGACGCCTAGTTTCATGACCTCAACAATTCTCTGAATCTCACGCAAACTCTCACCTCAGCCAGACAGCGTAGCAGAGACCCACATACCGACATGGCGCGTGCTACTCGTGCCAAACCTCCAAGGATGGAACAAGAGAGACCAGTGAATAAGGTCATCAAGCGGCCTGCGCGTGGTTACCACAAATTCAGAAATGGGATCCTGAACGTGAAGCCTAAAGGCGGCGAGAAAGCAATGTAAGCTCAATCCATCATACACGATCGTGCACGAAAGATAGCTAACAGGTCTGGTAGCACCAAGACCAATCAGAGCTCACCTTTGCTTCGACTACCTGCTGAAATTCGCAACAAAATCTGGGCATTGTCGCTTGGAGGACAAGTGATGAGGCTTCTAGGGAGTGTTCCTAATGGATCTCGTCGTGTCATAGCACTGTCATCAACTGAACGCAGTGGTGTCGCACTGCTCCGAGTATGCCGTCAAATCTACGCAGAAGCTGCGGGTATGCCTCTATCACTCAACACGTTTTCATATTACCAGCACCCCGCGGTCTCGCTTTTCAAATATTTTAAGCCGCACCAACGCAAGCAGATCACCTCCGTAAGAGCGGACTTAGACGGCATAACATTCGAGACATCGGGGGGTTTGGATCTCGATTGGACTAGAAGACTTTTTGAATTTTTGCCTGCACTGAAGACATATCGATTGTGCGTCTTCAAAGAAGATACAACATCCCCTGCCAATAGCCATAAAGGTGGGGTAATAGAGAGAATCGTGTACAAGCGAATCAAGTCCCTGGCTTTGGGCGCTGCCATCAACTTTGGGGTAGAGTACATTGCGCAGGACTTGCGAACTTTCAATAGCGAGTAAGTCGTTTTCAGCCTATTTGATGAACAGCACAACTCACAAATGTTTAGGTGGCACAGCAAGGTCCATAGAAATACAGTGGCAGGTGGTACACTATCAAATCCTGGACCGTCAGACGGTTGATCGATTCTTGTCGCCTCCAGCTCAAGGATTGCGAGTCAACAACGGCGTGAACTTCTGGGAGTAGGGATATTCACTGGTCAGTTAGAAACATCTGAAGGAGCTGCTCGACTACCTCTAAACAGGCCGGAAATCACAGCTGCTCATAGTCAAGCAAGCTCTGAGGGTTCTGCACATAAAAAAGGCCTAGTTCCTGAAGACTTTTGGAGGTCCAAAACAGGGCTTTAGAGTAATGCCATAGTGGAACAATTACGATATGGGCATCCTTGTACGACCAAAATGCTGTGGATTCATGGTCATGACGACGTCAAACTGACTAACTGACACTGTTTCGCCCTATACTCAGATAATTACTCTACCCTCGACAGAAATTATCCGTTGGCGTGAAAATTGTATTTGTTTGCCTCGTACTATTTGGACTAATCGAAGTCGGCCTCGCCAGCAACCATCACGTTGAAAAGATCGAGTAGGTGACGTAGCTGCACACTTCTCTGCTCACTCGAGGCGGACAAACATGAGGCTACTTGTAGACCAAGAAGATGTCTCTTGATAAGATTAGTATAATGGCTTTCGCTTTGGCGAAACTATCACTAATCACACCAAAATACAGCACTACTGCCATTCACTTCTAGAAATGTGTGGAGAGAGTTCGGATGATCTCAATGTACAGCTGAGATGGGTTGACATACGCCCCGGAGTCAAACTATCACTTCCGTTAACATGGAAGCACATCATCTCTGCTGGGATATTGCCATATTTGACCTAGGTTGGGCCGCAATAAGAACTTATTATAATCATGTATCAAGGTTTGAAACACTTACGAGCAAGTGGACCTGGACTATCGAGTATGTTAGATGTGGTTCCTCTTCTTCCAACGCATCATAAGAGAGATACTGGATTTCTGCAAGGAAAAGAGCTTAGTGGGATACCTTAATAAGGATGGTCATATGGCTGGTTGTGAAAGTGTCTTGAGGTTCACGATAACAGGGACATGGAAGTTATCTTCGGTTTCTTTTCACTCGACCCATGTGGGATCAGGGTTTTGGGGTACTTGAAGTTCTTTTACTAAACATCAAGCATGCTCTAGCCCATGAGAGTGAATTTTGCTCGATTTCACTGTTAATTTTTTATGGGACATGTGTATAACGTTGTGTATACTTGACTGTAATTAAATTAACCCTTGGAGAGTTACATTCTTATGCATTTCCAGCTAATTTGACCATATTGATCCCAAAGACATCCTTGACTGAATTAAAAATTCATTCTCAATTTTTTACTCGTGATAGCAGACACTCTCGAGTCCAAGTAGGAAACATGGAAACCAAATATCAATTTACACGTGTACATTTTATTATGGTTATGATGCGATGAATCCTATGGTGAAGTGAAACGACACACGCGAACAAACCACATCATTCCATTCCCTCTGCACTCTAGGTACGCAATGAGCTCCCAAATTCTAGTCACGCCGTTTGTATTTCACACCCAAGAGCAAAGGCGTACTAGTCTGTTCACGCGGTCCATCTTTCACACCCAGGAGCAGAAGCGTCCTAGTGCGTTCAAAAGTACCGTGCCGGTGGCCTCTGCGCGTTTGAAGCCTCTCCTCTCACTTATATCGATGCCCTCTCTCCATAAGCTGGACTATACAACTGATTTACAAACTCACTCAACTACATCTTTCCGCCCCAGACTTTGCAGATTCATATTTGATCCAGGACAAAACCACCAAGCTATCAACTGATCATAAAATACAAGACTTCGCAATCAACATGTCTTTCCAAAACACAGAGTCAGTTATCCTCGACATCGAATCTCCATCCTCCCGTGCTCCGTAAGTCACTTCCCAATCCCGAATTCAAACACCTATCCACTAACAACACAACCCAGAGCCTACACCATCCAAACCCAATCCCCATTCTTGCGCCTCCCAGCCGAAGTCCGCAACCGGATCTACAACCACCTCTACACTCCTGCCGCAGCCATCGCGCGCAACAAACCTACCTACCATCGTCCCTCCCCCTTCATCACCTCTCCCCCAAATCTACCCGCCCTCTCACAAACTTGCCACCAACTCTGCTTCGAAACCCGTCTCCTCCCTTTCTTGTCATCCGAATTCACCGGCAGCCCTTCGAAACTCATCGCTGCCCTGCGCGCTCTAGCACCAGAACATCGCGCACTGGTTACACACGTGACTTTCCTAGTCAGCTACGATGACACTCGATTCTCACCCACGAGACCTCCGGTGGGGTTGCTGGGGTACGAATTTGCGGAGGCGTTGCAAGCATTGGTGGAGTTTGAGGGCGTGGAGATGGTGAGCGTGGAGCGGGTGATGGGGTACTGGAGTCGGGGGGTGGAGTTGGAAGATTTGGTGTATGAGGAACTTGAATATATGGGTATGGATTATGTGGATGTTGTGGTTATGCCTGAGCAGGGAGGGCGTAAGCGATGATGAGATGATGGGCATCCTGGGGTGATCGCATGCCTTGAGAACTGTTCTGGATGACATGGTGTTCGAGATTGAGATTCGGAAATTCTGTCTGATGTTGTGGGGTTGGCACTTGGCGTGGTGATGCTGAGAAGAGCTATTGGGAGAGTCAGGATACGGTTCGGAGAGTTTGAAGCTTTGCGAAGCCCTAGAAAATCGACAAGATTGAGCGGTCGATGGCACTGTTGTGAATTGAAAGTGCAACGCGTCATCGTGATACCATGTGACTTACTTCTGAATGCCCGAATACTAACATCTCGAACGCTTTCGATCACGTTGAAAGGTTCTGTGTTTGATGTAAGGTATAGACTCAATTTATACACACTGTTGGACGCACTACGATAAGCAGCTTGGGTAGTATGATGGTAATGAGGAATGAGAATTTTTCAGGATTTAAAAGCGTCCAGGGTAACAAGAAATAGGACTACTACACTACTGCGAATGAACCTCTCCACACTTCTCAAGGACATCATGGACCGGCGCCAACCTTAAGCATGCTTTCTACGATAGGCTGGACATCAACACCAGCCTTCTTCTTCTGCGTGAGAAGCACCAGTAGGGGAGTCACTTCTTTGGGTGCACGCAATGCTGCAACCTTCGGTACAACCTTGCCGAGTATCTTGGCCTTGGCTCTATCTTTTTTGCTAGGCGTCCTCGTTACAGTCAGTCAAACATCACAGCATGCACACAGATCAACTCACAAAGATTTCGTGTCTGCGGCGGCAGCAGCTTTTGCTACTTCTGTCTTCACTGCCGAAAGATCTGGCGCGGACGTAGTCTCGGGAACGGCCGATACAGCTGGATCTGGCACAGTGGGAGCTGCTGCCGCTTGGGATGGGATGGTTGCAGACTTCGCTACGGTCGCAGGCTCCGTCTCATGGGGCACTGATGCCGCCTTTTGTAATGGCGCTGCTGCATCCTCAGAAATCGGTGCGAGTGTTTCTGCAGGAGCTGCTGCGATAGCGTCGTGTTCGGACTCCACTGGGTTGTCGACAGCCGTATATGCAGGGGCAGGTTCAGGTTGCGAGATAGGTGTGTCTTCTTCAACTGCTGCGACAGGCGGCGGCTCAGGGCTCGATACTGTTTCTTCTGGTTCGGGGACGGGTGCTGTTTCCGCAACCGTGGCTTCTGAAGGCTCTTCTGGAACCTCTTCTACGATAGGTTTGGCCACAGGCTCCTCGCCCAAAAGTGCAGGTGGCTCAGCGGGCTCGACGTCGGACATGCTAGAATGAGGATGGTATAAAGGAAAGGATGGACTGCTAGTGAGGTGTGACGGTAGAACTGAATGCAAGAGAGTAAGACGTGGGTTGAGAATGTTGGACTGTTTGCGGATGATGTGAGGTGGGAACAGTCCATTGTTCTCAGACGAATTGTATTGTTGTTATCACGATGCTTGGAGGAAGGAGTGAACAACGCAGATGGCGCGACATGTATTTGTTCTTCTGAGAAGGCAGTGACACTACTGAGATGAGGCAGGTACAATTTCTACTGAAGTTCATGTATACCTACTTACATGCAATGTATGCGATCATCGATTGATATGCTGGCTTTGCATCGGTCAAGCTTTGGTCGCAAATTAACGGCGGCAAGCACCCTAGTGCCACAAGCAACTGTCGGGATGGCATTGATCGAGAGAATGCTGTATCAACTCTGGAAGTGTTGATATGATGTCGCTTCCAGATTCCGACAAGACGGGGGAGGTGAAGTCGAAGCAGGTGGTGGTGATGGAAGTGGGTCTGGGTAACCCTGTCTGCCTGACGTAATCAAGCTACTAGCTAGTAGGACACGGATGCGTCAACCAACGCTGGAGCCATCAACCTCAAACATCGACTATACGCGTCGGCTGGCTGCGGCGCCATTATCCCATACCACTCAACTCAACGCGATCCTGCCCGTCTTGAAATGGCATCAACCGTCGACCAGAAGCGCCTGAAGGCTACCAAATTCCCACCCGAGTTTGACAAAAAAGTCGACATCGAGAAAGTCAACATCGACCTAATGAAGAAGTGGATCGCGAACAGGATCACGAATATTCTGGGAGATGAGGACGACATTGTGGTGGAGACATGTTACAACCTAGTTGAACAGAATCAATTTGTAAAAGAAACTCCTACCGCTTGCCGCGACACAGACTGACCTCAACAGCCCAAGATTAAAGAGATACAAATCCAGCTCACAGGCTTCCTCGGCAAGGACACTGCTACCTTCTGTAAAGAACTATGGGACTTGATGCTGAGCGCTCAGGAAAGTCCCATGGGCGTCCCCCGCGAATTGCTCGAAGCGAAGAAGCTGGAGCTACAACGAGAGCAGGTAAGGTAGCCAAAGCTTGTGTAGTAAACATTGCTAACAAGCACTCTAGCTCTCTAAAGCCGCTGCCGAAGCTCGCCGCCTGGAAGAGAAGGAGCAGAACGACATGGTTGACTCTTTCCGCCGAAGCGAACGTGCAGACCGACCAGAGCGTGGTCGCGGCGGAGGTAGAGGCTTCCGTGGAGGCGACCGAGGAGGGAGAGGCAGAGGAAGAGACTTTGATCGAGGACCGTCGCGACGTGATTCGAGATCGCCTCCGTATGTCTGCCAATGCTTAATCAAAGGAATTTCACTGACTTGTAACAGAAGGCGGAGATCGCCGCCACCGCGTCGCGAACGTGACATCTACATTCCCAGTAGTAGAGGTCATACACGTCGAGGACGTCGTTCTCCTTCTCGCGAGCGCCGTCGCTCACGTTCAAGCGATCGCTCCATGTCTCCTCCACCTCGTCGTGCACGCCGCTCACCCTCGTCAGATCGATCACGAACACCGCCACGACGCCGCCCACGATCGCCCTCTACCGACCGTTCCAGATCACCACCTCGCCGTTCGCGACGTTCTCCACGATCTGGGGGACGGAGAGACAGGTCATGGTCCCCCAGCCACGACAGCAGGAGGCTACCCAGGCATACTTCGCGATCTGTTTCCCCTCCAGTCAAATCGAGCTCACCAGCGCCCAGGGTGTCAGTATCGCGTTCCCGAACACCGCCTCGACGTCGTCGCAGATCGCCTTCTAGCTCACGATCAAGAAGCCCTGTGAAAAGCCGACGACGTAGGTACAGCTCTTCTGGGGTTGAGTCTGCAGCTTCTCGGCCTGATATAAAAAGGCGGAAGCGTTCGCTCAGCTCCAGCCGGTCAAGGTCACCAGTAAGGACGAGCAGATCACGGCGCAAGCATACGCGTTCTCCCTCGCGCACACCAGAAATTCTCTGAGAATGTACCGAAGACATAGGTCAGTATGAGTCAACTTAGACTATCTTCCAGATTCGGTACTATGAGCCGAGGCAAACAAGCCATAACACTAAACGTTCGCCATCGTGGAACTAGTCGTTCTTCACGAGCGCTAGCCATCAGGAACGACAACCCTGTTTCGGGCTGCCATCTGCAGTACTGACCATGGTACAGTCCCTGCGCGCCACAGAGCGTGCCAGTATGGCCTCCTTCTTTCTCTCTACTATATACGATGATGTCCATGTGCATCTATCCCAGTCTCTCGTAAATCACTTCTCTATACTATGCCTTCCCAGATAAACATATTGAGCAATGTCAAACAATGCCTTTCATGTTGATCATTCTTCCCATGGTCATGTCGTGATTGTTACTGTTGCCGCGACTTTCAGGTGTGTGGTTAGGTGTCGTTGGCTGCGGGCATTACGCACTACCCTGCCTGTGCTGTAGTCATTCGACTGTCCCGAGCGATTCGACGCTGCATCGAGCGTGTAGCTTTCTGCCAATAGAGGAGGCGTCCCGTTTAAACGTATTCTATAAACAAGTTGTGTCTTGGGTCTTGGGGACCCGGATTCGTATGACGTCTCAGCCTTTTCGCCGCTTACATTGTGCAGCCACTACGCTGATATCGTCGAGTTTGCCTGATGATAGCAAATTAACACACTGCATTGCCATTGAGCGTTGTATTTGACGTACCTCCTTCAATCGACAAGCCTTCATCGACCGCCTTCTCCATATATGGACTTTCTGCAAACGGATCCTGCGCAATCGTCCTTGCAGCATTGACAAGTCGCTCTGCCACGAAGCGCATGCCGTCAGAATACGTCTGGTTCTCGGTCTCGTTTTCACCGCGCCACTTTTCCAAGCTGTCCAGCACGTTTTCTACGACTTCGTGCTCCCAGAGATTGTCGACTACGCCGTCGGTCATGGCAAGCACAATGTCTTCTTCCGCGATCTCTATGCGGTCCATGATGGCGTTTTCATTTGGCGTGTCCGGGCTGTTCGTCCCAAGTTGTCGCGGACAATCAAACCAATGCCACTGCTCCTGTGTCTTGTATATGACCTCCTTGCTACTAGGGCGGATGACGAGGATCTGGCTGTCGCCAAGTTGCGTGACATATAGGATTGGGTGTCCCGGTTTCTGTTCGTCAGACGTGAGTAGGGCGCCGCAGACTGTTGTGGTACCGTGCCATTCATTCGGCTCGGTTGTGGCTTTCTTAGTGAGGTCGTACGCCGTCTGGAGGTATGCGACTGGGTCAGGTGGTGAGGTGGGCGAGTAAGATGCGCCTTTAACTTCAAGCGCCCAAAAGTGGAGGATCAAGCGGGACCAGAGACTACAGATGCAATATGTCGTTAGTTCATACAAAAAACTCTCTCTCATTGTAGAACGTACGCAGCGTGGCCCTTCTCTCTCGTCGCCCAGGCTCCGACTCCGTCGTTCGCTGCTATGAAGCTTTCGTTGACTAACACCGCATCGTCGCCATTGGTAACCCCGCGTATCATGTCTCCATTGACCCTTGGTCTTCGGTCTCTACTCTTGTCATGTGTGCTCAGCGGCTCTGAGAAGCTGGTTGAAGGCAATGAGAGAAACGGCGGAGGGAATGGGCGTGAGGGTCTCTTTGCGAAGAGCGCATAACCAGCTTCGAAGTAAAATGGCGACTTGATCTTAGACGGTTGTGCGTCCGAAGGTACAGGTGTATTGGTGCCAGCGCCTGTTTGGGCCTCTGCAACTTTTTGGGCGAAGCATCTGGTCGACTGCGCGAGTAATGCCCTCCGCGGTGGTGCTGAGATCCACCAGCGCGAAGTATGGAAGAGCGATCTGGGGGTGGGACTGCGCAGGCGAAATGAAGGCGCGAGCATGCCAGCGGCTTTTCGAAAGACAAAAAGTTATCAGGACTGAGCGCCCGACGCTGTTATTAGAAACGCATAGAGGCGTTGAGGTGCTTCGGCTCGTTTTCGGCGTGCGGAGAGCCTACGCACATCACTCGTAGGCCTTTTGGAATGGTTGAGGACGAGGCTTGCATGCCAAGACTGCACCTGATGACGTCGCGGGAGTGTTGTACGTCTGGTACCGGTATTTGCAGATTTCAAGACTTCAGATTGAAAGATGAAATGTGCTTCTAGCAACCACAGGCGCAAACGGCCAGATCCAGTGCTCGGACACAGTGGAGGACAGACGTGTGGAAGTCAGCTCTCATTTCCGTGCTCATCTCGCTTCTAGTCTATCTCGTCATGCAGGAACTCGCATTTCTAGAGCCACTTGATCGTGGCTTAGTATAATCATCAATTACTCTGAAATTGGTCGTGATATACACTGCGAAATGCTCATCTGGGAAACATGACGGAGAATCCGCCCAACTGTTGAAGCTAGATCGGTTCATCTGGAATTAATTCTGATATGTACAGAACGAGAAGGTAATGTCAGTTTTCAGAACCACAGAAAGCACTGACGGAGGGCTCACCACTGTAACAAGGGCCAGAGAGGTGATAGTGAAAGAGTAACTTGGCATCAATGACATTGGTGACATTGGCTGTAGCTACTTACTTGGTTTCAAAAGCAATTAGGAGCGTGTGCCCGCTCATCTTGCATCTCACGCCCCCTTTTCTTTTAATGGCCCTTCCTAGAGCTGTAACCACATGGGCCAACGTGTTGAATCGATCCTCTGGAGAGTACGCCCTGTGGTATCGCGAACAAACGCCTAACAATGCAAAGCCCAATCGTTTCGTCCATGCACCCAGCTTGTTTAAGCCCTTCGCTTTGCAAAGTTTTCCAAGTCTGGTTTGGTAGCGACGCCCAGTACAAATTTCCTACTTGCATCTGTGACGACAGCGAAATCTTGCGCTCCGCTTCCATCTACGCCGCCCTTGAAGAACTCTTCCAGCTCCTCCAACTCGGTCTCGGTAGTAATGACCTTGTACCTCCGGCCGCGACGTTGGAATTTGTGCATAGCCTCTTGTACTGGATCGCTTTCTTTGACCTTGCTTTCTTTCAGGAGCTGCTGCAAGCGTGGGATGCTGATATATCCTAGGAGTGCGCGGTTCTCTTGCGATATGACGGTAAGGTGTGTGTAATCACGCTCGAGACCAGACATGAGCGCCCATGATATGGGATCGGTGGGTTGTACGGAGAGCGCAGGAGGAGGGTCGAGATCTTCTACCGTAGCCTGCCGCCCATCAGTCATGACTGAGTGAATTGTGGTGCATCACGTACACCACGGTACTTGTTCGCCCACACGGCCTGGAAATCGCCCTCGGTTGCGCCGTTAGGAGCGGTTGCTGCTGAGGCCATTGTTGGAGACTTGTGCTGAAGTGTGGCTGGCGCAAGTTTGAAGATTCACGGCAACAGATGATTGTGCAGGGCCTACCGGTAACCATGCACGCGCCAACAGCTTTTTGGTACAAGTGTGGCCGCATCGATTTGCATAGCGCCTAGTGTTTCATAAGCTGAGCACTACATAGTACATACTAGCAGGCGAGGTATCCATGTACACTTGTTTGGTCTTGATGAGCTACTGTGTGTGTGTGTGTGTGTGTGTGTTGCTGTCAGGGAACAGCGGAACAGCGTGCAAGCGCAAGTCGTGAGTTGGGGACAAGGAGCTCGCAGCATGGGAGCAAGAAAATGATACACAGTAGAGCTCTTCAAAGCTATGGCTCAAGCAGCCTGTTAGTGACACCGGGCGCTATTCAATACCATGTGTCTTCGGACACGCATTGACAGACTTTTTCCTATTACAATTCTTATAGGCAGGTGGTGACGAACCCGAAAAGCCAGTCATGCCTGATGAGGCCTGCTGGCGAAGATATTGTAGCATCTTTCCACACTAATTCGTACCTACAATTTGATAGGCAGGTTGTAATATTCACCGAAGATACATGCGTCACAGGGACCCAATGTTCGCGTTCGTGCTCGTGTTGGGTCTCTGCTCGCTCATTCCTACTTGGTACTGGTGTTCCTGTCCAAGATGATACACACGTGATGGGATCGCGCGCCTAGCGACAACCTTCAACCACAGACACTCGCTCTTCTTGAAGGTCCGCAACTCGTACACCATTTCCAACAGCATTTTGGCTGCACTGCCACCTCTTGGGATAGCTTTACCCCGGCACTACAATGATCGCATCCGATGCCTACGAGTACAATACTACCGAGGCACACATGGCCGCCGTCACCGTACCTATGCCCCTCGATCGACCAATAGTTTCACGAGACGAGATCGAGTACATGCGTTGCAAGCGCTACTGCGCCGAAAGATACTCAGGCCGAAGCACTAAACGAGGAATATATCTGGGTGTTGTGCGGTTGAGACCTCAAGATGGCTCCCCTAAGGCAACCGCTGGAAATCTGGCAAGACCGCAGGAAAACGTCTGATCGGAATACTGAAAGCACGCTGCCCAGTTATCATTGCGATCTAGAGGGCATTAAACCACTCCACGTGCGACCGTGAACGATGCGACCAGAAATGCGCCAACGAGTCTCGCCGTGTCCAAGACCAAGATCAGACTGCACGATAAGGAGGTTCAACTTGGGGAACGATACAGGTATGAGCGATGGGAGCAGCTTCGAGGAGTCAGACGACACCGAAGTATACCTTCCTGTACATGGGGAACGCTTATCGATAATTAACACCGATACGAAATTCCCCGCCTTTCGGCCGTGACTCGCATGCGGGAAGATCAGGGAGATGTCCTGTTGAACGCCTTTAGATCAATCGCAACGTATTTGGACCGTCCGGTAGAGCCATGACATCGGTAAACTGTGTATTTCTGGCGATGACTATCTTTTCTGGCCTTCGGATGATCTAGAGGATATGGAGATTCTCCGCTCAAGTTGCAACCGCTTTTCGCATGAGCTTTCAATATTCTGATATTCAGCTCGTCTCTGTACCTTTCCTTCTCCTTGACAGGGTACCCTCGTTGCTCTCTGCCTTATCAATTTAAACCTGCTCGACGATTTCATCACACAAGCGCTTCAGATTCAGGGTGGATCATCGGAGGTCCGTCAACACTACAGCTGACAGATGATCGCATTTGCAATGCAGCAGTTGCCTTTTATGTCTTCCTACCCTTTCCAAAACCGACTTGTTTTCCAACACGGAGAGGAACGCCAACGATACGTACATGAGTGGAGCCTTCGCAGAAATGGCTGCGCCCAGTACTTGGCATAGATTACTGAGTGAATTGGACTATTCCCTATCCAATAACAAGAATTGAACGAACTTCGAGAGGTTTTCAGTGGCTTGTATGGTTCCGAACTATCCCCAGATTCCTGCGTTTTACAATCGATCTCTCCAATTAACTAGCCTAGGTCATTGGCTTACGTCACACTATCTACTGTATCCGAGGGCTGGACCAAGTCGCAAGCTGTTTTATAGCAGTGCGACGCTGATGCCACAGTACAATGTTTGAAGCTGGCCTACTATCAGTATATCTACAGGCCGGAAATGGCAAGCATTCCTACAAGACTGTATTGCCGGTGTGAGGTCTGACACGCTAAAATCGACCTGCGTATTGAATGGGCTACTTAATAGGCCAACCTGCGGATCGGCTGCGTGGTAGTTTGTTGTGAGTATCATAATTGCCTCAAGTGCATTCTACTCTGGCTGGTGCTAACATCACTAGGTACATAGTCGAATAGCAGAAGGCTATGAGTGTCATTCACGTAGCAAACGCTATGTCCTAGGGCTTGTGGATCGTACTTTTACTCTCGATACGCCACTCTAGGTAGCCCCTCAGCACGAGCACGAGCACCAATACTGTACCAAAGAAGTCTGGCCACGCCACACAACAATTTCAATAAGAGCTTGGAAATGTCTTGCACCGAGACACATGGTTCAGAAATCCGGGTACTCTCAAGTGCGTACCGCTTTGTTACTGATGACCGTCCGTCAACGAAAGTCACGTATATCAGCAATCCGGTCCGAGTCATGAGAAGGTGGAAGCCTGATCAAGGGAGTTGTGCGGCCGAGCAAGAGCTTGTGAGAACACCATTTTCGGCATCATCTCAACACGGCGGACTCATCCCTGAGGCTTGCTCGTGAGGCCGCGTTGCACGGGCCAAAACCACCGCTTCGCGACAGCACGAACAGCAAACCCCCAACAACATAGCAAACACGACTTATAGTCGCTGCATCTTTAGCATTTTACTACGGCGCTTCTAGTAGTGGCGTTGAAATAGGCCACGAGCTCAAGATAACGGCAGCGCCTGCATTGCGGTGATACCTACCTACCTACCTACCCATCGAGGGCACGTGACCGAGAGCCCAGGTCGAATTCAATAGCGCTGCTGCTGCGTTCTCTTAACAACGTTCTCCCCACACCAACCCGCGACACGACCCAACCACCCACTGCGCACCATCAACCAGGACACCCACCCATCACCTGCGCGCCTCACTCAACGCGCCTGGCATCTCGACAAGGTAATTCGCGAACTTTCGCATCCCTTACGCGTCAACACGACATCGCACAACCGTCAGCTCGACCCAAGCAATGGCGGAAGAAGTCAGCGCACCCGTGTCTGCGGACGCCACCAAGACTTTGGAGGAGACGACGCGTTCTGAAGGCGCCATTGCAGAGCCTGCCGTCGCAGAGGCGAGACCGGACGAGGGCGGAGTCGTAGCCACCTCAGGTGTCACGGAAGGTACGTACCCTATCCGTGCAGAGTCGCGTAGAGATGGCTGACTCGGCTCCAATCTAGTCCCTCCCACCGACCCCACCACAGAAGAGCCCGCTGCCAAACACGATGACTCTGCCGACGGGCAGGCAGACACGCCAGCCCCAGATGACAAGACTGGTAAGAAATCTTAGCATTACAGTTGGCCAAAGACTTCATCGGATGGCTGTCGAGGAAGCGTGCATTTGCTGACACGCATCTTCAGACGCACCTGCCACCGAAGATGCACCCACGAGCAACGGTACTCCCCCACCCAAAAAGGCTACAAACGGCAAACGCAAGTCTGGAGCGGGTGTACCCGAACATAAGAAGAAAACACCAGCCAAAGGCAAAAAAAATGCACCTAAATTGCGGCTCGATGTCTCAGCAGGGGACATGTTCATGGTCGCCATGCGTGGATATCAGCCATGGCCTGTAATTGTGTGCGACGAGGAGATGCTCCCCGAGTCCTTGCTCAGCAAGCGTCCTGTCAGCGCTAAGCGCATTGATGGCACGTATCGTGAGGACTTCCTTGAGGGCGGCAAAAATGCGAAGGATCGGCGATACCCGGTCATGTTCTTGGGCACCAATGAATTGTGAGTATAGCCTTGTTCGTTCTTGACTTGCTCCGTACTGACGCGCATCGCAGCGCTTGGCAAGTGAACACCGAACTCCTGGACTTTGACATTGAGGAGGTGAAGAAGGACGTCGAGTCCGGCAAGCAAGGCAAGAAGAACAAGGCTCTGTGGGAGGCTTATCAAGTCGCTGCAGAAGGCCATGATCTCAACCACTTCAAGCAGTTGCTGGACGCGCACGAGTCAGCATTGCAGGAAGAGACTGCAAAGCTTGAAGAGAAGGAGCAGTTGAAGAAAGAGAAGGCTGAAAAAGCCACGAAGCGCAAGAGCACGGCCGCGGCTGGCTCGGAGGATGTAGAGATGGAGGATGCTGGTGACGGTGCCACCCCGTCCACGAAGAAGAAGTCTACCAAGAAGCGTAAGAAGACTGACGAGAGCGACGGGGAAAACGAGAATGACAAGGTATGAGGTACCATTTGCCGAACCATCAATCGCTAATATGCTGACAGCCTGCAAAGACCCCTAAGACAAAGCTGAAGCTCACCACCAAGACTCCTAAGGAGGCTTCGGCAGCCAAACCAAAGAAGGAGCCCAAGTCTAAAAAGAAGGCAAGCGAAGAAGCTGAGCCGGCTGTTCCTGAAGAGCCTCCAATGACTGAAGAGGAGCGTCTGCAGAAGCGCGAGAAGCAAGGTAAGCAGGCGATCATCTTGGGACTTTTTTTCATGCCTGACCGTATTAGTTCTCTATCTCCGCCATCGCCTCCAAAAAGGCTTTCTCGCACGAGACCAGGCACCCAAGGACGAAGACATGTTGAACATGTCCGACTACTTGAAGCAACTTGAAGCCCATGAGGACCTCGAGGCCGAAGTGATCAAGAAAACCAAAGTTCACAAGGTGCTCAAGGCTATTATGAAGCTAGAGACAATTCCGTTGGAAGAAGAGTATAACTTTAAGACGCGCTCGAACGATCTCCTTGGAAAGTGGAGCAATGCGTTGGCCTCGGAGAACGAACCCACCAGTGGTGTAGGTGGGCCATCGGCCGAGCCAGCCACAAATGGTGCGAATGAAGGAGATGAGAAGAAGACGGACTCAGTCAAGGACGAACAGATGGCTGAGAAGACCGACGACGAGGAAAAGAAGGATGATAGCCCGGCAGCTGATGCTACCGCCACGAAAGCTGCCGACGCAGATGGCGACATTGCAATGTCTGAGGCAGACAAAGAGATTATCAAGGACGCACCAGCAGTAAAAGCTGGGGCTGAAGCAACAAACCCAGCTGCGGCAGAGAATGCCACCGATGATACCGAGATGTCCACTGCGTAGGTTGGCCGCTGCTCGTGGTTCTCGCGGGGCAGCGAAAGGCCCGGCTTCCAAGATGCGGGTGGCTGCCTTCTGCAGACTCTTTAAAAAGAAAACACGGCCCCACGGTCATTTAATTGACGGGGCATCGGGACAAGAGTGTATCGTGTCTAGCGTTTGTTCCTTGATTTCACTGGCTTTCGGGTGCTTCGAGCTCTGTACATATATTCCAGTACGGTGATGAAAGTGGATTGGGCGCCGTTGTGGGAGGAAAGGCGGGGACTATTGTCGTAGCGTGTTCCGGACGTATTGCTTACGGTAGAGTAGCGTCGACAGATTGCTAGGCTGCTGGCGTTGTCAATTTGTCAAGTCTGCAGCTACCCGGACGAATGAGACCGTTTGGAGATTGATATAACTCATGTGTGATGCACCATTGAATGGCCTGTCGATTTCAAGACCTCAGAAGAGCGTACCGGTATGCCGCCACACGTTTCCGCGATGGCATTCCACCCTAGATGTGGCGCGTCGCGCAGCTTGCCCCACGTATCATGATGACGTCTCGTCAATGCTGAGGTCCACAACGAAACCATACACGGTAAATTCGCAAAGCTCGTGAAATCGAACAATACCTGGTCTCTCTTAATTGTGCTTATGAAATCGCACTTTACATCTCAACTACATCTTCCACTCAAACGGCCAACAATCTACAAAATGGCAGGCGCAGCGCGAAAGGACCTCCTCAAGAAGGTGTACACAATGGTACCGCCCATGCTTGAGAGTTTCCATAAAGGTAATCAATGCAAAAATGAATCACCATCATCTGGCTAATGCTTTCATCAGGTCAATTGGGTCGTGTAGCGGTCATTGGTGGCAGCGAAGATTATACGGGCGCACCATACTTCTCCGCCATGGCCTCTGCGAAGCTCGGCTGTGATATGGTATGCTCTGGTGGTCACTTTCCCTAAAACCTAAAACTCCAAAGCTCTAACAAGTTCCTAGTCACACGTAATATGTGAGCCCGGCGCCGGCGCCGTCATCAAAACGTACTCCCCTAATCTCATGGTGCACCCATACATGCGCCAATCCAAGAACCTTGCTCAATCTGAGAGCGCAGACACCGTCTCCAAAGAAGTCATAGGCATGCTCTCGCGGCTACACGTCATCGTAATCGGACCCGGCCTCGGTCGTGACAAGCTCATGCAAGACACATGCGCAAAGGTCATCAAGGAGGCGAGAAAACAGGGTATCCCGTTTGTGCTTGATGCAGATGGTTTGTATCTCGCTCAGACACAGCCAGAACTGGTGGAGGGCTGTACTGAGTGTATTCTCACACCCAATGTGGTTGAGTTTGGACGATTGGCCAAGGCAAAGGGTGTGAATGTTGATGAGGGTGACCCAGCGGAGCTCTGCGCGAAGCTGTCGAAGGCATTTGGAGGTGTTACTATCATCCAAAAGGGGGCGAAAGACTACATCTCCAACGGATCCCACACTCTTGTCTCCCATGGCAAAGGCGGGCTGAAGCGATCCGGTGGCCAGGGAGACACCCTAACAGGTAGCTTGGCTACCCTCCTGGCTTATAGAAAAGCGTACCATGACAAGATTTGGGATCACGGGACAGATATGTCAAGAGCCGAGACACTTGCCCTCGCAGCGTATGGTGGTTCGTGTATTACAAGGGAGTGCTCAAGGTTGGCGTACAAGGAGAAGGGTCGGTCGCTACAAGCCAGTGATTTGACAGATCATGTGCATACAGCATTCCTTAATGTTATTGGAGAGAAGGAGGAGAGTCCGATGCTGGAAGAATAGCAGACCAGGGTCCGCTGGAAATACACAGCGCAGGGAGTCATGGATACATATGGCACGTAAACACATAGGCAATAGATATTGAGTGTACCAAGCACGATTTCTCGAGGCAGGTGATTGATTCCCCTTGTCTTCTCAAAACTCTCGGCTCTTGACCAGACGAACAGCTGTGTCCAATCTGGATCTGGGTCTCACGGCAGCCACCATGTGTCAGCCTGTCTGCGTTGCAATCATCGTCTGGGGCCATTATTCGCACACGTATTACAGCATGCGCTACGAGCGCATATTACCATCAGACAAGTACGGTATATGCAGCCATATTCCTGCTCGATCCAGCTTCACGGCATTGGACCAATGATGATCCTCTGGGTATGTCTTTCTTTACAAGCTGCACTTGCCCCACCTCCACTTCTCCAAAACACCCACATCCTACGGTAGCTCACGCACGCTTATACCCGTTCAATTGCGATCGTGGCTGATGCGAGGTTGCGCATCATCCTGCTCATGTCCAGATACTTGGTCACTCCTTTGCCAATGACACCGACGGTATAAGAGCTGCCATGTCCTCTCCCCGCTCAATGAATTACGGCCAGTCGATTGGTTTAACGGTACAATATGACAACTTCCCTTGACCTTACCAACCAAGCTCCAGAGGTATTTCATCCGTTATCTGTCACCTTTGACCTTTGACAGAAGCTGAAAAACACCATCTAGGGCACCAAATTATGGGTTCGACCAATACTGCTCGTAAATGCACTCTCTCAAATCACTGACTCGAATCTAGCTACTCCATCTAGGCAATCTCGAAGTCGACGATGCCTGGATCGTCCGCGGTGTACACACCCTTTCCCCAACCCCATCACCCCCCAACTCATTCCCCACATAGGCCAACACCTCGACCCGCTCCAACCCCAACCCCCCCAACACGCGCCGCAAGCTACTCCTCGCAGCTTACCTAATCGCCCACCCCACCCACGGCCTCATCCTCTTTGAAACCGGTGCAGGAACCGACTACCCTGAAATCGTCGGCCCCCAAGTCGACGACCTCTTCTCCCGCGTCGACTATGACGCCTCGATGAATCTCGACGCCCAAATCGCACTCACGGGCCACTCGATTCGCGACGTGAAAATGGTAATCATGGGCCACTTGCACCTCGACCACGCGGGAGGGTTGGAGTATTTCAAGGGCACCAATGTCCCCATTTACGTGCACGAGCTGGAGCTAAAATACGCCTTTTATAGCGTCGCAACCAAGATTGATAACCACGTCTATCTACCGCACTACCTGACGTTTGACTACAACTGGGTACCGCTGCATGGCTCCCACGTCGACTACTTGGCACCAGGTCTTACCGTTCACCATGCGCCTGGCCACACCCCTGGGCTGTGCATCTTGCAGCTCCATCTCAAGCGCACGGGAACCTGGCTGTTTACAAGCGACATGTATCATGTAGTGGAGAATTATCGGGATACAGTGCCCCAGGGCTGGCTGGTGAGGGACTACGAGGCTTGGTTTAGGAGCCATGCAATGGTCAAGGGGATTGTGGGGCGCACGGGGGCAAAGGTCTTGTTGGGGCATTGCTGGGATACGGTGAGGGAGTTGGGGGTCGAGTTTGCGCCGAGGAGTTATGAGTAGGTGGGGGTAGGTGAGGGAGAGATGTGAGAGAGCGGTCCGGGGAAAGAGGTCGTAGGGTCGGGGCTGGGAGGAGAAATCATGGCGATGGTATTGGTAAGCAGTCATGTTTAACTGACGTTCTTTATGGAAAGTAAAACTATAGTAAACAATGCCGACAGAGTTTTTATCCGTTAGTTCGTCGTCGGTTACATGTACATGTACAATCAAGGCAATAGGTATGCCTCGCACCCTGCCTACTAGGTTAACATGGCTACGCAAACATAACCGCTTCGATTGCTTAACACTAGACTGTTTTACACATGAAAGATTTCATCTCACTAACATCATCATAGCTAGACAAGAAAATCCTCCAACCCCATCATTGCCTTGGCAAAAAAAATACTCACATGTCACCCGCGCAGCAATTCCCATCCCACCACCCTTCCAACCCAAACCACAATAAATAATACCCACCATCCCTCATCGAATTCCGGAATGAAACACCATCACACCGCCCCATCCCCTCCACAATTTTTCCTTTGAGAGAGGTAGGAAGCGGGGTTTGGCGGGGATGCAACGATGTTCCCTCTCCTCCGGCTCTCTTTCCCTTCCAGATATGTCTGTGTGTGTGGGGGGGGGAACCCACGGGGTTGCATAAGTTGACCAGGGTGCGTGCTATATAGATTGATGAAAATTCCCGCTTCGATTAGTTTCACACAGTGCGCACGAGTCGGGCGGAGGAATGTGAGACGTGAGAAGAGAGGGGGGGATGTGTATTTATAGGGTTGGATTGGATGGGGGATGTGGAAATGGGAATGTGGTTGTGGTTGTGAAGATGGGTATGGAGTGTGGAGTGGCTGGGTGGAGTGCAGTTGGTGGATCAAGGGCTTGAGCAGCGATTACAAGATTACAAGGTTGGGAGGTTGGTGTAGTGGTTCTGGGTCCTGAAGTGCAAACAGGTGAGCGTGGAGGTATAGGCAAGGGTCGTCCGAAAAAGGCCGTTTGTTTCCCCCGACCACAAAACACAGGCAAGAGAGAGTGTTAAGGGGCCGTCATCTGATTCCGGGTACCGCCAGCCCCAGTCTAAGTGTTTCAAAGATCTGGTGTGAAGGTGGTGGACGCGCTAAGCCGGCGTGAGATAAACCATGGGACACTTCCTTTGTCTTTCCTTTCAGAGAGGGTGAAGAGTTGCACTGCCGCATGCTCTGTGCAAACCCCCCCACGCACCCACGCACAGCATGACTGTCTTTGAACAAAGAAGAGAAAAATGAAGACCTACCGCATGTTGCAACAGTCGAAGATTCTATGGATGGACTGGAGTTCCATCCTTGCGCTCATCAATTCACTGCATAGGTGAACGACTGCGATCACGTCCCAGTGCCGAAAATGGAGCCCAGGGCAGAAGACTACTACGACATGCCCGTCGACCTGTTGCCGTCGGCCAACTTTGCGGGCCGGCCCATGAGTGACATTAGCATGCTCGATGGGATGTGGACAATGATCATTTCATCCTCGGACGAGGAGGAGGACGGTGAGGACAATGTGAAAGGTCAGATCACATCAAGACTAAATCTGCCGCAAGCAGCAGAGACGAAGGCAACCAGGCCAGGCATACAGCCAGAGATCAGGATATCGAGTTCATCGAGCGAAGATCTGAAAGCGCGGTTGAGGAGATTGAGTGACGACGTCAAGATCATGGAGCGACCGCGACCGAGGAAGAAAAGTAAAGATGACACGAGAGCAGGTGGAAGCATCGAGAGAAAGTTCAATGATGCCGAACTCCCTCCACCTTGGAGGCCGCTGCCACCTGTACCTGAACAAAGAGGTGCGAGTAATAGTAGTAGTCGCTTTGAGGTTCAAAAGACATCTGACTTTCCCGGCTCTATCTCGCAAAAGTTGCGCGTGCAAAAGACGTTGCGGCAGAAAAAGATGGGCACCCTGAAAACGCATCCTCTGGAACGCGATGCAAGACGAGCGCCCAATTCGGCGAATTCCATGTTGAAAACCCCTCGTGAACTCTATGCGATTCCGGAGAGACAGGCCACGCACGGTGAAGAGCGCGACCCACAAGTTATACATGATGCGCCCTCGGAAGGGATCGATCCGCATTCTTGGACACGAAGATCAACACGGGCGATATCCCCAGCCAATACTGTGGCTGCGTCACCGTCGCCAGTGCAAGCAAGCGCTCCTCTCGGTGATACCCAAGAGATCAAAGTTGCGATCCAAAGGATATACGAGCCAGGACCCATCCATCTTCAAGAACATGCAGCGATGCACCGACGAGATTCGGTCGCTAGCCTGGATGAGTTTGATGGTGCACAAGACAAAACACAAGAATCTGCCGACAGGACTGCGGAGGAGGCCGTCATCCTGTTCTTTGCAGATCTTGGCGTGGTGGACGAGGTTACCGATGCCAGCCTGGACAGATACTGGCTCGGACCTAGTCGAAGATACAGCGTGGACTACTCCTACTGCCATGAGCCAGATGAGTCGTGGCGCAGGCCCAGCAACACAAGTGTGACAGAAACAAGAGCCGTGAGTCCTTCTGCCCGTGTGGCGCACAGCCTCGACGGTGAGGGCGACGGCGACGGCTCGAGGTTCTCGTCTTCCTCCACGTCATCCAATACATACTCGCCCCCGGCGAACAAGAGCGCACGGACCAGGCTAGGCAGGCTACTATCGCCAGCGCTTCCTGGGACAGCCTTCTTGAGGGCCCCTGCCATTTTCGAAAAGCAGGCAAAGAGATGGCAGGCTAGAAATGAGGGAGGGTAGCCTAGTAGGCGGCATGTTGGAAGAAATGAAGGTCAGCTTTTGCAGCGGAACGGAAGGTCCTGTCAAGCTCTGCTCTCAAACTCTGAAGATTGGAGAAGCGAATTGTGGGAGCGGGCCCGGCAAGGATGGATGTCGGTGAAGGAGGGTCATGGGATGGGTCATGATGGGGATTGAGGATGGGTAGGAGAGCGGGCCTGATTAGGCAATTCGTGATGTTTCGTACAGTACCCGATTGGAAGTTGCACGGGAATGGGCAGACGATCGTTCAGTCTGGAACGCATTCGATTGTCGGTCGTGCAACTAGGGCATGATGAGGAGGAGGAGGAGGAGGAGGAGGAAGATGACGACATGTGCTGACGACATGTGCTCTCTGGCTTTGAGCGACAATGAGCAGAGAAAGGGTGAGCGGTGGTCGGACGGAAAAACGAATAACGGGTGGAGGAACCAGGTTGTGGTCGGGGTGGACACGGGATAGGCAAAATTGGATCGATTTGTGGGCGTGGTCGTGTTGAGTCTTGCCATACAGGTACAAGTCTACAAGGAGATTAACCACAAGGAGATAGGATACAATAGAATACAATAGAATACAATACAAGACTGCCCATGTACGGCACTTGATGCAGTCAAGGGCGATCCCCTGTGCCAAGCATACTGTTTGTGATGGGACGGGCAGTCAGCTGACTAGGACAAGGGTCGGCCCTCACCCCTCCGAGGCTCCGAAAAGGGCAGGCTCCCTTGCCCAGAAAAAAGTGAAGGGACGAATGACAAGGTCGGACGGGGGGGGGTGCAGCCAATCACGAACCAGTCTGACCCCTGTTGATCCTCCCCGTGCACCTTGCCCCCTTTGGCCTAGCCAGCTGCTTTCTGATCGTCCTTTTCACCCACCGCCCAGGACGGGCCGCAGTCGTCAAAAACGGGCGCAAAAGCAAACGCCAGCCAACGCCAGCCAACGCCAGCCAACGCTGAGCACGACGCCAGACGCCAGACGCCAGACGGCCGACACGAGCCAACGCATCGCATGAACCCTGGTCGGCCTATGGTGCCGTGTCAAAAAGCCCCATCGCGCCCACATCTCCCGTCTGGTTTGTTTCTATTGCCCTTTACTGTCTTGACAGCCCACTTGTTTGTCTGCTCTGCTCTCTTGCAACTCTACTCTGCCCCTCCACCACCACCACCATCATCATCATCATCATCATCATCATCATCAACCAATTTTTGCTGTTTGCACCCACCATACTCAACGACACTACCATCCTCCTATCCTCCACCTATTATGGCTTATACTCTGTTCTACAGTAGCAGTAGCAGTAGCAGTAGCAGTAGTGGTGGTGGTAATAGTGGCGGTGGCTACATCAACAAGCTCGAGCAAGCCAGACAAGAATTCTGGAGCAGTCATCCACATCTCTCAGAAGAACAGCTTCAGCTGTCGTGGTTACAGACCGTCTCTGCACCCCCCTCCACCAATTCCTGCCCTCCCACTCGGCCGTCGATAGCCAGCCAAACACCCCGCACGATGCGACACAGTATGCCAAGCATGGCCGATTTCTCGGTAGGAGATAGACCCCTTGTTTTGCACACCCTCCCCCTTCTGACTTCCTCAGCCACCCCATTTCGGATACATGGACCGTACTCACTCAGCGCCTGGCGTCACTCATCCACCCTCTGCCATCGGCCTAGACAGCTCTGAGCTTGAGAGATGCACGACCAGCTACTCAGACTGGCAGTCTACCGCTCAAGAGCCAGCAAACGACTACACACTCTTCTCCCAGAACTCGATGAGAGCCCAAGCCCTCCTCCACCCAATCGACGAGGCAGCCTGCTTCCCCACCGGCAACGGCAACGGCAACGGCATGGTCGAGTACAGCCCCAACGACTACGTCAGCAACTGCATTGAGCCCATGAGCTCGAATTCTCTCTTCACCCCCACTCCCCACCACTCACAACAGCAAGGTCAACTGACGCCAAATCAGTGGTGTTCATCGTCTGATGCATCCACCTCGCCCAGCACCCCCGTAACCGCCCTGATGACGCCCGTCACGCAGTCGAGTGACATGAGCCGTCAGGGAAGTTATAATCCTCATTTCGTTGATCATGTTTCCATGTTGCGTGTTCAGTCTGCTTCTTCTTGCGCGCTTCCCATCCTCCCTGAGGAGGATGGAAGTTTTCCTTTTTCGTTTGACGCTGAGTCAAAACCCATCAGCAGCAATGCTGATGGTGCTCAGTTTTCGCACTTCACTGGCTTCAGTGAGGGTTTCCTTTCTCCGTCTCTCCATCCTGTTTCTGCAAGTGCGCACGGACTTGCTTCTATCGACAACGAACAGTCGGACCTGGCGGAAGATATGCGGAGGTCGACATCAGCATCCTCTAGTGAGAGCAGTAGGAGTGAGGCCTCGGTGCCCCGCTCGACCCATTCTCGCCGTTCCCGTCGCGAACGCGAGATCAATGCGCAAGCCGCCTCTCGTAAGATTGCCCCCAAGGCAGTCGAGCGCCTCCAAGGGACCGAGTCCATGACATCCCATGCTCAGATGGCAAGGATAAGGTCCGAGGATGGCTCCTCGAAGACGGTTGGTCTTCTCACCAAGACGCCCTATGTGCGGCCTTCCCACCCGAAGATCATGTGTTCGTTCTGTAGTGAGCGTCCCGATGGCTTCCGTGGTACTCATGAACTCGAACGTCATATTGCTCGTGCTCACGCGCCAAGTCGCAAAGGCTTCATCTGCATCGATGCTTCAGCTGATGGCAAGTTTCTCGCAAACTGTAAGCACTGTCGTAACAAGAAGGTCTATGGCGCCTACTACAACGCCGCCGCCCACCTTCGCCGTGCCCACTTCCACCCGCGCAAGCGAGGCCGAAAGGGCAAGAATGACGAAAAGCGTGGCGGCATCGGCGGCGGCGACGACCCACCCATGGACTATCTCAAGCAAAACTGGATCCGAGAGGTCGAAGTCGACAACAACAGGCCCACGCCTCCTTCTCCACAAACTGCTTCCGACGAAGCCACCACCACATCCACCAATGAGACATTCGATTTCAACGCCCCAAGCCCCATCGACCCCTCCACTGCCTCTTATTCTCAACAACAACAACAACAACAGCAGCAGCAGCAGCAGCATCAACAGCACATGCCATCCTCAATCCCCACCCAAGTTCACATGGACCCCAGTCTTCTAATCGACTACGGGATGAGTATGAATGCAAGTGAACCCATGATGCTGTACGCCAACCCAGCTTTCCCCAACTTCGACCCTACCCTTGTAGTCCCCAACGACATGAACCACTTCCAGTTTGACGCCGATGCTGGTTACTAAGTCTTTTTTTTTTCGCCTCTCTCTCCATCTCTCTCTCGCGAGATTTCACTTCATGTACATACATTTTCCTCACCTCGCCCGCCCCCTGTTTCTGCACAGACACGGTCCTGTATTGACCACCGGTCGTTTTCTACAAGAAGCGATCGCGGTAGGCCTGCACCCGTGTCCCTGCTATGATTTCTTTCAACGAGCGCATGCGTTTTTTCTCAGCTGCTTCTTACTTTTGCCGCAGCTCGCACTGTGCGCCTTTTTATTTATTTCTTTTTTGCTGGCTTGTTGTTGGCGTGTTGTTTTCAACGGCGTCTCGGGAAGGGGAAAGGGGGTTTGTGCTAAATGCTGGATGCGTTGTGCATGATGTTTTGGGTTGGGTTTTGGGTGGTGGGATTCGGGATTTGGGTTTAGGAGCTGCGGGTTCCGTACTCTAGAGCTCTGTGCGTATGGCTATACACGTTGGTTTGGCTATGGCTATGGCTATGAATCTTATGAATCAGTTTCAACATGACTTGGCTTTATTACTTTGTGTGCATGTGTGTTGTGTTGCGTGTTGCGTTGTGTGTTGTGTTGTGTGTTGTGTGTAGGGGAGTAAGGGTATGGGAGTAGATTATACTATGCTGTACTCTACTACACTCCTGTCCTATACTGTCCGGTCCTATGTGTATACCACCATAAACCCCACCCCATGCACAAGCATATCCACAAGCACAAGCAAGCATAAACCACCCGTTACTTATTCCGTTGAAGTGATGATTCGTGGTATACTACTTGTGCAAATCTACTGATGATTGATCTTTTCACGCGATGTGCTTAATCTTCTTCCTCCTCCTCCCTCCTCCCTCCTCCCAGCCCTAAATACCATCCACGAAGGACGTTGAAGTCGTGTGTGTTGGGTTTGTGGGTCAGTAATGGGCTAGCGGGATTCTGTGGTTTTACTTGTTTCGAGTACTGCTTGCTATGGCGGGGTGTGGGGTGTGCGTGAGGCGTGGTGGTTGTGGTTGGGTTTGTGGGGAGGGATGGCTAAATGCAAGAGAGAGAGAGAGAGAGAGGAAATTGGGGGTGTGAATGAATTGGATTGTGGAATATATGTGGTCGAGAGTGCTTTGTTGTGTTCTTTTTTTCCAAAATGGTGTTCACGTATACATTCGTTTCTTGGATTTCCGACAAGAAATCAATCTCTCATCTTTTTCTTTCTTTACAACCTCCCCTCTGTTTAATTAGGATAATTCCCTCCATCCAACCTACCCACCGGATTCGCTGGCCCCCCAGTCTGCCCCTTTTCTCCCCCAAGCCTCACCGCCCCCTCTTTACTCTGATCAATCGCCTCCCTCGCCTCCCTCTGCTCCGCCTTCTTCCTCTCCAAATCACTCGCCAGATCCGGTTGGCTCCCACCACCCCCCATTCCCTCGCCCCCCTTGCTCACCGCATCTGCTACTTTACCCTCACCAGGCGCGGCCATCTGCTCGCCATCGAGCTCCCGGTGGCGCCCTACGTCTTCGCTGCCGAGGCCTTTTGCTTCTTCGCCGGCGGGTGCGCCGTGGATGCCTTTTCCTTGGCCGTATTTTGCGTTGAGGAGGCCCGAGGCGTCTGAGGCTTGTTTTGTGGGGAGGGGTGTCGAGGTTGGAGTGCTGGCGGAGGTGGTGGACTTGGACTCGGTGGGGTCTTTGGAGATAGGGTTTGAAGGGTTGGTGTAGGCTGTTGATTGAGGAGGTTGGGTGGCACCGGTGGGGTTGAGGGCGTCTGACATTGTTGCTGTGGTGTGGTGGTGGTGGTGATGTGTGTGGTGTGGCAATGATTTGGTGTGTGTGGTGAGGACTTGAAGATTGCTTTTGATGTAGGAGAGCGTATCCTGATTCCAGAGATTAAGTTGCTTTCAATGGCAAGTTTGAAGAGGGATTAAGGACAGAAGAGCTTGGTTTCAGGACTATACTTTCCTCAAGTTCCTATGACGTAGGCGGGGCCTGGATCGTCATTCACCACCTACTTGATACCCCCCGCAACAAGCATCTGTGCCCTAGTCATGTGAATGCGCGTCAAAAAAAAACCCCGTAAGAGTTTTAGTGGGCTGTTCTGATAAGGGGCATAACGTCAGTTGGCTTGAACACTTTCATGTCTTCTTATGTAAGCGTTCCAGGAGCCATGCTACACTGTGCTCCATATATAACGGTGACTACGCACGCGTAAAAATAGTAAAAGATCCCCTCAGGTTTTCCCCGTTTCGTAGTAAATAACCCATGACGCCTATAATGATCCTCATCCAAACGCCTTCGCTATGCTTAGAGACCAAGTAGGAGGAATTACTCCATTTCCATGACTACATCGACTGAAGATTCTCTGGTCTCGACGTGATTTGTTGTTTCGCGGCTCTCTCGCTTCGATTCTGCCGCCTTTGTCGCTTGTTCTCGTGTCTTGCGACACCACTCTTCAATAGAGTCTACTGCACCGCCTTCGATTTTGATCGTCTTTGGTTCCGCTGGAACTCCGAGCGCCGTTCCTTGAAAGCGTGATTCGACACCAGTCTTGCTGTGCTTTTTCATAAGGGCTGAAAGCTATTAGTGAATCAGTCCCCAGCAGCAGGGGGTGGATGCATACTATTCAAGTAATCCTCCATCTCCAGTTGATCCAGTTGCTCCGTAGGGTTCTGAGCCACGGGCTTGTAAGTGCCAGCTATCCGCCTGATCTCTCTGTTCTGGTCGCCTTTGACCCATTCAATAAACTCGTTGACGTCGGCTGTGTCTTCTGCATTGCGACGCGCTTCTTCGTTCTCTCTCGCAGTCGTGTTTGCATCGTAATCCTCCAGCGGTTTGCGCAGAATCTCTTTCCAGAGCTCTTCACTAGCTGTCAGGGTCGGCACTAGCAACCCGCAATCCTGCATAGCCATGCGCACGTCGGTGATGTCTGGGGTGAGGTCGTTGTGATTGGAGAATGCGTTGTAAGCTGTGCGCTCGGCGAGCAGGGAAATGTAGCGCGCAGTGAGATCCACGACGGTGTCCACAGCCGAAGGCTTCCCGTGATGGAAGCCCGTTGCACGCAAAATATGTAGGACTGCCGGTCGCAAGAGGCTGAGGAACAGGTCGTTTTGAGACATGTTGGCGCGCGTTGGGCGTTGAGCGTTGAGCGTTGAGCGTTGGGTGGTTCGGTGACGGGGTAATATTTTATGGCTGAGCAAGACAGAACATGTTTGTTGGTCACGCGATGGTGCAGCCCAGCACCGTGAGGAAGTTCGGCGGCCTGAATAGGGCGATATGATTCAAGTGAAGGAGATGCAGAGGTGTTCGGGTTCGCGACCGAAGATTCATAGTTGCGCATGCCAAGCCCGCAACCACGTCCTCAGACTTCCCGAAGACGTCTCCATTTGTCCCCCCAGATTCTACACTACATTCGACCGCGCAAACGCCACGAATGTTGCGCCCGCTGGCGTCCACACCCTCTCCTCGCGAGTCGTCTTGCAGTCTCTTACTTGCATCGCCTCGACCGCGAAGATGAAGCTCAAGCTCAAGAACCCAACAGCGGCACCCGCCCACGCGTCTGGAGAGGCCCCATCTGCTGATGCTGCCACACCCGTTTCCGCCAAACCTGGGGGAGGACTGAAGCTCAAGCTCAAGCCTGCTGCGTCTTCCACACCCGTTGCGCCCTCTACAGCCTCTGCGCCTGCTGCGCCAGTCGCGCCCACGGCCCCAGATGCTGCCGAGGGCGCCAAGCCAAAGCGCAAGTACAATAAGAAGCCCAAATTCGATGAGAGCGGGGCGGTGATTCCCCCAGGCAAACCAGGCCCAAAGAAGCGAGTGCGCGATGATGAAAACGACGAGTTAGACACCCCCGCTGCGAAGCGCAAGCCAAAGCCCACCGCAAAAAGCCTGGCCATGGCCAACGACAGCAGCGACGACGAAGTCATGGCCGAACCTGCTCCACGACCCCAGCCACCCACCCAACGCGTACCTTCTCTCAAACTGTCTATCAAGCCCAAGACAGGGGCCTCTGGTACACCTGCTCAACCTGGCACCAAGACAGCCATCCTCAAAGTCAAGGGCGCCGGGAAGCCACCCGTTCGGCCGTATGGCGTTGGTTACGACAGCGAAGCAGAAGAGGCCGAGGTAGATCCAGCCATAGAGTCACAGTTCGTGCTGCGAATGCAACCAGGTCCCGACTGTGATCTGCTGCGCAAGTCCATTGAGGAGAAGACGATTGGCAAGTCCGTGTCCGCAGGAGGCCCCGGGGTCTATTTCAGGTTCTTTGACCGTGAGGGCAGGAGAGCTTTGATTCAAATACAGAACCGACAATACGCCGCTACCATGGTCGAATTGCCGGCCGTCATTGAATCATTAAAGAGCTGGAATAAGAAGGATTGGGTCAAGACCGCGGACATTTGCCAAATGCTTCTGGTCCTTGGTAGAGTAAACAACGAAGAGGAAGCCAAAAAGTACCCTCGCCCATCCTACGTCGAGCCAGATTCGCATCGCTTCCCTCATGGTCTCACGCCACCTATGCAATGGGCCCGCAAGTTACGCTTCCGACCTCGCAAGTCTTACCTTGATGTCGAGCGAGCTGAGGCACAAATGAATCGACTCCTAGCAGAAGACGAAAAAGCCATTTCCACCAGATACGAGCTCATCGACAGTGGGGACGAGTCTTCTGATAATTCTAGTTCCGAGGAAGAGCTGGATGACGAAGAGATGCCCGATGGCAACCAGGTGGAAGACGAAGGAATGGATGCTGCCGAGATTGAACAAATGCTACATGCAGGTTTCATGGAGGATGACGAGGTCGAAGTAACGGGCAATGGTGATGATCTCGAAGCTATGTTTGGAAACTCGGACAATACATTGCAAGTCGAGACCCCTACGACTGCCCACGACGTGGCCATGCACGCCATCAACCCGAATGGTAGTATCACACTGGAGACAGATACTGCAGCATCCACCCCTGGAGCGGCGACATCGGCAGATGACGATGACGATGACGATGACGCTGACTCAGACGATGAGGTTGACGAGGTTGACGAGGCTGCAGCAGCTGAGGAGCAACGTCAGGAGCAACTTAGGGCAGAGATTGCGGAACTGGAAAAGGCCATCGCACAGAGCGTAGAACAACGCGAGAGGCATACCAACTTGATGTACAAGAAGCGCCTGCAAGCCACGATCGACAAGCAAAAGGCGGACTTGATCATCAAGCAAAGGCAACTGAACGAGGAGGTCGAGGAATAGGCACAGAGCCCGGAATTCCCCACAGGAAGGGAAGAAGCTTCTGGCATCAGATCTCATAATTTTTCCACAGCATTGCATGGCCATGGCGTTTGGACATTATACAGTAGCATTTCAAGGCGTTGAAAGGATGAAGACAAACAACCATCTCGATTGCAAGAATACCATTCTATATCATTAAAGTGATAAACATGTGTTCTTGATTATGCGCGCAACCCTAAGCTCCTGTCCATCGTGAATAAGGACCCCGAAGAACCTGGGAGCCTGGATACCTTTGAAGCCCTGTGTCATGTCACGTGTCACAGACACTGCCAAGACCACCTGATAGCGCTAAATCTAGCCGCCCATGCATTCATTGCCCCACGTTCTTTCTTTGATCCTCCAGCACCAGTGCAAACAAAACCCGACAAAGACCTTCCTTCGCACGCCTTGAATTGAACTAACATTCACCTTTTAGTAAACGACTGACCCTAGCTTTCTTAACCAGGCGAACATCAATATGCCACACATCGGCCGACCTCCGTACACGGAAGCGCAGATTGCCGCGATGACCTCCAAGGAGGAGAAACTCCGTGCGATCGCAGAGTATCAGAGTATGTGATAGAGGAGGCGTTGGGACGAACAAGGCGTTGATGAGTCAATGACAGGCTATAACTTGCGCCTGAAGAAAGAGGTTGAAGCGCAAGCTGCGAGATCCAACGGCCACGCAGGACAGGGAAACCCAGGCGCCGAAACGTATCGCAAGCCCTACGATTATTCCCCCGGTCCCAAGCGTGGTGGCTACGCAAATGGCATTCGAGGCCGTGGTATCTATCATCCATATTTGCGCTCGCAACCGCATTTCAAGAACAAGACTGCCATCTTCAACAAGTCAGATACCGAGGGCTCAGACACAAACGACGCGAGTACATGGCCATCTAGCAACAAAAGCTCAAAAGTGATCCGCCAACCAAATTCCGAGCCTGCGACGCTTTGCCCAGCGCTCACCTCGACAGGTAAATCCGTGACGAAACAATCATTCGGGTCCAGCATGTCCTTGCATGATTCTAACTAATATTCAGGTGTATGCACACGCCACGCATGCCCATACCACCACGATCCGAACAAACAAGCCATCTGTAAGCGCTGGTTGTATAAGGATGACTGTCCAAAGGGCGAGTTCTGTCCGCTTTCGCACACCGCCACAGCTGAGAATGCACCGACATGTCTGCACTTCCAGGATGGCCGATGCAATAATGATGAGTGTCGATTCGCACATATTCGCGTCAACCCCGCGGCGTTGAACTGTGAGGCATTTGGACGCTTGGGTTATTGCGTGAAAGGGGACAATTGTGCGGAGCTACATGCACACGAGTGCCCCACTTTCTCCAACACTGGTGACTGCTCGTATGGGGATAAATGCCGCTTAGGACATGTTTACCGTGCATCTCGGATGAGAAAGACTACCAGGCCCTCATCCGAGGCGTCTGACAAGTGTGAAGATGATGTGGACACGGCAAAAGATACCCAGACTTGGGTCCCAGATTCCAGGGATCCTCCCACTTACAAGTCTCAGCAGTTTACTCAGCAAGCCGATTTTGTTCCCTTAGATGCCGACGATTAGATTCGGTCTACCAGCGGTTCTGTTTCGACCTTGTAGGTGATCCTGCCCTGCTGTTTTTTTCAAGGTCGTTGCCTAATTTCCGTCGTTTCAAAGTCTTGTCCCTCTTACAACTTAGCGCTGGTAGGTTTTTCGTTTCTAGTGTTTGTGGCTCGTCTTGACTGTCCAAAGTCACAAGTTTCAGAGTCACGGTGTGTATAGGGCTTTTGATGATACCCCTGCTTCACGCGATGTTGTTTTCCTTTCAATCGATTCTGCATTTGGCAATTGTTCATGTTTGGGAGACTACGACGAACCAAAGAGAAGGCTGTCACGTAGTTCGTGCTGCGCAAGGCGTCCTTGTGGTTGACGTTGGCTCTCTAGTATATACCCAAAGTTTCCATTACGAGAGAAGACAGAAAAAGCATGTAATGAGAGAAAAAGGTTATAATGAAGAGACATGATGACCTGATACATGCCGTGATGCACTGATGCTTGATGGCGCTGCGAAAAGTGATTGGTGCTGTTTGACATTATTCTCATTGTGATATCTGAACCTCCTGGAAACCTCGCCACCAGTCCACGTGAAGACTGAGTCCACATATTATCAGGGAATACACTTTAGCTGACACTGAAGACTCAAAAGGCAATCGGACCGAGCCTCTGACGTAATAGTTGTCAATCCATTTGCACAATCTCTCCCAAATAGAAACTACGGGAAAATAAAGCGCGTCCAGTCAGCCATGCCTTTACAACGGAGGCTGAGACTGTCGGGATGGTTGCTGCGGCCTGGGGGGGGGCCTTGGCAGGTCCCCTCGTCCTACAATTCCCTGGCACGCCTTGCCATCCCGCCCTTCTCATTCGCACAACAGCCATGTGCGCTGCCACTTTTACGAAGAGCCTACGCAAGTACAAGACTACGCTCAAAGTCGTTTGAGTGAGGGGCTGAGAAGAACTGTAGAAAGAGCTGAGCAAAGGGCCTGAACCGGTTCACGTGGAATCTGGAATTGAGGATTGCGTGTACCTTGTTTATTTGGGCTTCGAACGAGCCGTGTTTTGGAAAGAAGACTTTCTTCAATCACGCGTGCGTGATCATTTGCACGAGAAGTTTACTTGTCCAGGCCCTGGTCTGCAATCGCGACGTTTAGCACTCGGTACAGTCGCAATTGTACCGAAACCGTGACGACGACGACGACGGCGACGACCGCAATCGCACTTGCAATCTCACCTCTCGCTCCCAACTCGCAACCATGACGCTCAAAGATTTGCTCAAGAAAAAGGACAAAATTACCCAGGATACCAGCACCACGACTACACAACGCACACTCTCGCCCTCGATCCCAGAATTCCAGTTCCTGCGCACGACCACGAGCACGCAGGAGACGATCGAACCACCGAGTTTCCCGGGCGACCCTGCGAGAAATGACAAACCTCTGTTGAGCCCCGAGCCGTCTAGTAGGTTTGGACGGTTTAGGAGCAAGAGTAGTGCGGGTGCACAAGGGCAAAGCAGTGGTGCTGGCTGGCAGGGCACTACACCCGAGGTTGATACTGGTGGGAATGGAAACAGCAAAGGCAAACTGTCAGAGCGATTGCACTTTGGACGGTCACGCTCAGCCACCAGTGTTAATGTGCCAGACAATCTGCCCGATGTCGGGGGGGATGGCGTAGCAAGGACAGAGGAAGAGGAAGCGAAGTGGGAGAAGAGGGCCACGGTTCTTGTCGCAGGGGGTCTTGCGCATGGCGCTGGGAGCGCAAGTCAGCCTGGGACACCGGGTTTTGAAAATGCAGATTTTGGGGCGGTGAGGCCTGGGCTTCCGAGAGAGAGGATAGGGAGTGCGAGTGCAGCCGGTGACGAGGTGAGTTTTGTGATTGTGAAAGGCGAGGGATGGGTCGGCTGACGGTGTGATTTAGGAGACTATACAGGAGGCTATACGGCTGCATGAGAAAGGAAGTAAGTGGCTTGGGTAGCTTTTTCAGGAGAGTTGGGAGCTCACGAGATGAGCAGATCTTGAAGCATCAACAGCGCTCTTTGGCAGACTTGCTGAACCCAATGGCGCAAACAATGCTTTGGCACAGGTCCTCTACGGTCTTGCATTACGGTACGTTGATGCCCTATCAAAGCCTGAGGCAATGTCTCCTTGGATCTAACACAGTGCAGTCATGCATGGGGCATCGAGCCTGATCCCTCCCAAGCTGTACACTACCTTTCCATGGCCGCTTCTAATAGTGCGTCCATTGAGTCACTCGCTCTCCAGGCTGGCATCACCAAAGGTGGCGCTGCAAAGGGCGAGCTGGTCCTTGCCATGTACGAATTAGCCAATTGCTTCCGCAATGGCTGGGGGGTGAAGAAGGACCCGGCAGCTGCGAAGATGTACTACGAGACAGCGGCGAATCTAGGGGATACAGACGCCATGAACGAGATTGCATGGTGTTATATCGAGGGCTTTGGGTGTAAAAAGGATAAGGTACGTCGGACATTGTTTTTTTCCATTGCTCAAAGTCTCGTTGAGTTGGTTCTACCTTGCTTTTCTTCACTTGATTGGGTTTGCAAGGCGCGCGTTCCTCCGCTTGCTAGGAATATACACCGAACACAGGCCCCTTCACCGGTCACATTTGCTATCTATTCGATTCAAGTGTGTTACGCGACGCTGTACGCCCAACAGTCAGCATTCATCCTTGGCTATTTTTGAGACGCCTTGCTGCTTGCATCTCAGCCACGACCGTGGGGTGCGCATCTGAGACATGCAGACTGCCACCAACATCGCTCGCCTCCCCCGTCACCTCTTCGCCTCACTGTTTGGGCAGCAGTGGACAGCAGCTACTGTTCGCATTGTTGTTCGGCTGATGCGGAGACGGGTGGATAGGATACTGTACTCTATGCACAGTACCGTACCGTCGCTAACGCCTCAATCTAAACCAGTTCAAGGCGGCTCAATTTCTGCGGCTCGCGGAAACGAAGGGGAACAAGACTTTAGGCAATACTTGGTAAGTCCAAACATCTTTCCTTTACACTGCCGCCATGCCGTCATGATTTCGTTTTCCCTTGGAGGAAGCGAGCGAGATGCATCGAGATGGCATCTAGACACACAACGTTATTTGGCTCGTAGCCGCGGGAACAAGACAGCCCGAGCCTCGCGCCGTCACATTGCCAATGAAGGGCACACGATCCACACGATCCACACGATCCCATGGCAGCGCCATCCGCCATACCATCAACTCCCGTCAAATCAATACAAGACGACCAAGTCCCCAAAACGACCATGACGCTGCTCCGGCGCTATCCACCCTCGCCGCCAGCCAGTCTCGACCCGCATCCGCCAAGCGACATCGATTGGCCGTGCGGCTTCCATTTGCAGCCACACCAGTCTCGCTAAGGCGGACCGCACGCGGACACTGCTCGACGGCCCATACGGCATCTCGCCCTCAACCCGCACCAGCAACCTGTCACCCTTCTGCTGTCCTGTTGTTCCCCACACGCCCACTACGAGTCCTCTGCTGCGCTGCACACATCATCCCATTCGGCTGTGACATGGCCGTTTTACCACTTTCGGGCCTCCCCTCCAGCCTCGATTGCGCCGCCATGGACCACTGGCGCGGTTGGGAGGGGGGTTGAAAAAACTGTCATGCTGACCCGCGGCCCTGGGTCGCGTTGCCTGCTCAGACATGGCATTGGTACACGTGGCAGGGTATTGCTGGCTACGCTGTCGTGGGGAGTGCGGGCTGGAAGGGGAGGGTTTGCGACCATGGACGGCGCTGAGCGTTGACCGTGTTGGTGTTTTCTTGTCACTTGTCCAGAGTAGGGTTGAATCGATGGGGGGGGGTAGAGGGAAAACGACTCACGAGGTGTGTGTGGGTTTGACCTTGTCCTGCCCTCGTCTCGCCTCCTGGTCGCGACAAAAGCCGTCCGCCAGCAACAAACGACGGCAGCCGCGCATCGCGACAGAGAGACGGACGCGAGGGACAGGAAGTTGCGGGAATTGTACCCGCAAGGGCACGACTTGTCTTTTCCTGGACCACACACTGGTTCCGTCATAGTATTCCACTGGGGACCACTCTACGATGGAACCTGCATCAGCCGACGGATTTACCCACCGTACAGCAACAAAGGCCAGACCAGAACACACGCTCTATCCGCCCGATACCTTTCCCCCCCCCCTGGCACCTCACCACTGGACACGCCACACAACTGACAAACCCCATTCATTCATTCTTGCTTGCCTGCTCTTGCTTACTTTCACTCTCACTCTCACCTGCTCTCCCCAGACAACCCCCCATGCTAACCCCTTGTTCGCGCAAACAGGATCTGGAAGGACAAGTACAATCCAAAGTAGGTCTAGCCAGCGTACGCATAGCCATCCACTTGTGAGCGGGCTGTGGGAGGAATCGCGGGCGGATTTCAAGGTACGCGGGGGGTGGGAGTTGGGGGAGGGGAGCGAGTGGTGTGGAGACTGGGATGCGTAGTGGGAAGGCTGGAGTGCGGACGCGTGTGCGTTCAGTTGTGTGTGTAGGAGTGGTGTGGCGCAGCGGGGCACATTGGTGCTGATGATAGTCATCCTCCTATTCATCCTCATACCCCCACACCCACCCATATCCAACTCCCAACCCCCCACCACCAACAACTACTACAGCAGCACAGAAGCCCAGATGCATTTCCCTATCCTGAAAACTTGGTGACGCTATAGTGGAAAATCCGGGTATGCTTATTGGTTGTTTGGTATTCTTTTGCGCTGCTTTATGTAGGGCTGGGTAGGGCAAAGGGAATGGATGTGTGGGGATAGGTTTTGGGTTGGGGGAGCGAGGTAGGCAGGTTGGGTAGAACAGATGGGTGGGCGAGGTAAGAGGCAAGTTAGCAAGGCTGGATGGGTATGACCTTGCCTTTGACTGTGACTGTGACTGTGACTGTGACTGTGACTGTGCATCACAAGGTGATGCCTGAAAAACGGCAATCTTTGATTTCTCTGCTCTGATCCCGTTTCCATACTATTCCTATCCCCATCCCATCCCATCCCATCTCATCCCATCCCATCTCATCCCATCTCATCCCATCTCATCCCATCCCATCTCATCCCATCTCATCCCATCCCATCCCTCCCTCCCTCATTACCAACCCCAACCCGCCTCAAATCCCGGAAAAACGGGGGCAAAACAAACGCCACAAGAACAACAAGACATGTGTATATATAATCAACGAAAAAATCAAGGCTCAATCTCGCGGCAATACACTATTGTGGTGAGAACAAAGGAGAAAGGAATTCCATTTACAATGTATCAATCATGCCGTGCATCAGTTTCCATCAGTTGCCATCAGTGCCATCAGTGCCATCAGTGCCATCAGTGCCATCAGTGCCATCAGTGCCATCAATCATCCATCCATCAATCCACCCATGCAGGAGAGAGTGCCATTTCGGTCACTTCTCGTTCCTTGATTGCCTCCCCACTTCCCCCTAATCATCCATCATCCATCAACCATAATCCATCATCATCATCAACATCTCAACGCTCGCTTCGCTCTGCATCAACAAGTGCCAAAACAAAAAACACAAACAAAAGAAAAGTTACAAAGGAAACAAAGGCAAAGTACAAAAGTCAAATCCACCTCGACACGGCAGACCGACACCCGACCCCGGCTTCCCACCTCGGCCGGAGAATGAAAACCCATTCCAAAAAAGGAAGAGCAACAAGCCCCCAGTTCCCCCATGTTTAAGCTCAAAAAGAAAAAGCCCCCAGTTGTCGTCCCAAACGATGTTGTATTTAAGTCGCGGTCCCGCCCACCACCCAAGAGCGAGGATGGAATAGGAAAGAGAAAAAAAATGGCCGATAAAAGGGTTGGGAAGCCAAGTATGCAACTTTGAGACCCTATAGGTGTGTGGGCCCCCCTTCTTTCCCCCCTCCTCTCTTCCCATCCATGTGTGGGAATTGGGGGGGTGGGGGGCCAAGAAGTGAAGTCGCTATGCTGGGTTTGTAAACACAAATGAAATCAAAGCAAAACAGCAAAATATATGCAAGCTTACGCAAGAAAAGGGTGATGTTGGGTTCATGCATTTGGGTGTGTGGGTGTTTGTGGGTGGGCGAGGTGTTCTCGACCCTCAGGTTTCGACCTTGGTCGGGCCATCCGACGTCGTCGGTCGGGACATGGCAGCCGACTCTTCGACGATGCGCTTGAACTCGTGGACAACCTCGGGAGCGATCTTGTCCCAGAGCAGACTGCGAGTGTAGATTTCGGCGGCCGAGTCACCCTTGTTCTGCTCGCGCATGGCGGCCAGGGTTTCGGCCAGGTTGCGACGATGCGAGGGTTGGGAGCCGGGCGAGAGTGGGTCACTGAGCTCGTCCGTCGTCATGCTATATCTTTGGCGAGTAAAGTCCATCGAGGTCAGGCTGTTGTATTGCGCAGGGGTGACGGAGAAGAGCTGTTCGTGCTCTTGGTCCTTGGTCGGGCCGGTGAGATGGGAGTGCAGTTGATCGAGGTGGGAGCCAGAGAGGCCAGCCAGTTCGGAGCCAGAGAGGGTGGTCTTGGGCCAGGCCATGCCCGAAGGCGTGGGTTCCATGCCGGTGACATGATTCGCAATGATGCCTTGCTCGTTCAGCGTGGTAGAGACACCAGCATCCTTGAAGATGCTGTCCAGCACGGTAGCCGAGGCCGCGCGCACCTCATCAGGCATACGTGGAATCGGCGGGGCGGCGGTGCCAGACTTGCTTGCGACAAAGGCGCCACACAAGAGGAGCATGAGAAGAAGGCCAGAGGCGACAGGCTTCTCCTCCTCCTTGGTGCGGGAGACGAGCGACAGTTCTTGCGTCTGTTGAGGGGGCGTCTGCTCGTCCGAGGCAAAGTCGTTGACAAAGATGTAGTTGTCCCAGTCGCTGTGGCCCATGTTGAGGTTGTCCATTTCCGAGGCAAAGTCGGTAAAGGTGGTGCTGGGCGCAGCGGCCATGCCGTTGCTGGTGGCCGCCTCGAGACGTTCGGTGAGGACGGAGACCTTCTTGCGAAGCTCGCCCGACTCGAGCGTGTGGGTGCGGACAAGCTCCTCCTTGTCAAACTGCAGCTGGTTGATCATGTGATGCATCTCCATGGACTCGCGGTGCCAGTTCTCCTTTTCGGCCAAGAGGGCCTCGTACTCGACACGCATGGCGGCAAACTCGTCCTGCATGCTGCACATCTTCTCGATCCAAATCTTCTTTTCCTCTTCAAGCTCCTCGGTGTGCTTCTTCTTTCGTTGCCGGGAGTCAAGACTGCGGTCACGTTAGCTGATGAACGAGGGGAGGAGGAGGAACCAAAAAGGCAGGTGATGGACCCGAGCGAGGAACGCGTGACCAAAAACCCGAGGGAGTTACATACGCGGCCTGTCTGTTGCACGCACTGACGTTTACTCACAGGTTGCTTCGGAACCCGAACGTCAGACA